GACAAGGACACCTGCGCATTCAACACAGAGCAACGGAGGAAACATGGGATTAGCGCCGATGAGCTTCGACAATTCATCGTTCGGGCGACACAATCAAGCGCCTACCTTTGCGCCTTATCACTCTTCACCGGGGACGTTCGAGTTCATGCCGCCCCGTGCCCAACCAACAACAGCTGCATCACAACAAACACCAAACGAGATTTTAAGTCTCTAGGCGCAGTTTTCACACGTGATTAAACTGCAGACATCCTCACCATTCAACGGATACAATTTCTTTACCTGGAGTTTTGAGTTCGAGCTGCTGATGGAGGCTGCGCATCTCCTGGGATACTTCAACGGGTCCCTGCCATTCCCAAGCAACGGCACTGCAAAGGAGCAAGAAATATTTACTTATCAGTCGGTGCTAGCGTACACAGTTCTCCTGCGGAACTTGTCACCACAAGAACAGTAGAGCATCAGAACATATCGGAGCTATGGAAACTCCGCGGAACTCGCATGCCATCATCTCAAGTGTCTCTATCAAGCAAACGACAGCGTGACACAAAGCAGACTCATGCAACAGCTGACAACAATACACATGAAGACCGGGGAAAAGGCGATGCAGTATATGAGTCGCTGCCAGACCCTCCGCGACCGCCTGCTTCGGTGCGGAGGAACAATCACTGAAGAAAGCTTCGTGACGCTTGTCCTCGCCGGGCTCGGGCCAGAATGGAGAACCACACGCTCGCTTCTTCGCGCCCACGGAAGGATCTCGGAGATGCACCTCTGCGCCGAGCTTCATGCTGAACAACAGGAGATGGACCTGTTCGAAGAAAGACAACCAAGGAAGCAGCAGCAGTTTGTTTTCTACACTCAACGAAGGAACGTCAACAACTACAATCGACGCGGCAAGCAAGATCAACGCGACAACAGAGGACTCACCTTCGTGCCGCCGTTCTACCACAACTGTCAGACTTCCGGACATTCCAAAGTCAACTGCACACGTCCTCGTGTTTATCGTCCAGTAGACCCTCAAGTCGCCTCCACTCAAGAAAGTCCTCCAAGGCGTTCTTCCACATCTGCACAAGGGACACCAAACATCATCAACTGCATGGTACACATCGACAACTGCGCACCCGAATCACCACCCACTTATGCGCCAGACGAAGAAGAATTCCCGCCGCCGCGCTCACAAGGACTTCAGGTCAACCCGACATACGCTGCGGTCGCCAACACCGAACCCACCGGGCGAAACACGTGGTTCTTGGACAGCTGCTGCGGTCAATACATGTGCTCTTCCGGACGCTTCGTGCAACGAGAGCGACGCCTCAACCGCGACGTCATCATCACCGTCGCCAACAACGAGAACCTGAAAACAAACAGACAAGGAGTGGTTCAGTTACAATCCATGGAGGCAAACGTTATACTTCAACTCAACAAGGTCCTCATCGTCGACAACTTGGGATACAACTTACTAAGCGTAAGCCAGCTAATGGCAAAAGGGATTCACCTGGAGTGCGACTCCTACTCCAACGAGTTTCGCCTTTACCGCGGGAAGGGCGGTCTCTTCATCGGTCGTGCTCTCCTGAAGTCCGGCGTCTTCGTGTTGGACTTCGTCCCCGACCGCGGTACTGCCGACCGCGGTACTGCCGTGTCGTTCGCCGCCTGGACACACCCGCCGGATCTTGACCCCGACTTCGACCCTGACGGATTCTGGCACTCCAACACCATACCTGCAGCAGAGAGAACACGAGCCTTAGCAGTCATCAGACAAGAAAGACAAGTACCAGCAAATGTCCCTTCCCAACCATCACCTGCAGTAGCAGCAGCAGGACCCAGCCGAGTACCACCACCAGCGATCAGAGGACCGCCAACCGAAGCAGACCGTGCTGCCGAGGCTGACGCATCAGAAGAAGATGTACCTGGAGCCTCGGAAGCTGCCGGACCACTCTCTTTCTGTTCCGTACCTGTTCCCCTCGACGAAGACAATCCTCTCGATAGCAACAACCTCGACACCTTTTACCACTTCGCTGACCAAGGTTACGTTACACCCCACCCGGTCGACACGAATGTTTCAGAACGCATCGGCCCAAACTTCTTACCTGATCCAGAAGACGGTGACGAAGCAGCCTATTCCGGGAATGAAAATTCCCCTCGACACACACCCACGGGACTGCAGATCCTCGGCCTATGGGTCTCCGTCCAGCATCCGCCGCCGCCATCTCCGCGCGAGCCCTCGACTCTGTCGCAGGCTCTTGGGGGGGAACATAAGGCGAAATGGAAGGAGGCGATGGAAAAGGAGCTAAAGGCTCTGCAAGACCGAAATACATGGAAGCTGGTACCAGCAACAAGCATCAACGGGAAGAACGTCCTCTCGGGAAAATGGGTGTACCGCATCAAGACCAATGCGGACGGTTCCATCGAACGATTCAAAGCTCGATGGGTCGTACGAGGGTTCGATCAACGATACGGAACCGACTACACAGAAACATTCGGCCCAGTCTCCCGTCACACCTCATTGCGCATCCTACTCGCCGTCGCGGCCACGAAGAAACTACCACTGCGCCAAATCGACGTCGCAAATGCTTTCCTGTACGCACCTGTAGACGCTAAGATCTTCGTCGAGCAACCCCACGGATTCATCGTCGACCCCACAAAAGTATGCCAGCTGATAAAATCCCTATACGGGATCAAGCAAGCCCCGCGGCTCTGGCAGCAGCATCTTCACGGTCGCCTCGTAAAAATCGGATTCCTACAGCTGCCGCATGACCAAGGCATGTACCGACTGCAGAAGGGAAGAGAGTATATCCTACTCATCGTTTACGTTGACGACCTGCTCTACATCGGTTCCACTACCGACATCGCCACCTGGTTCGAAGGGGAGCTGAAAGGGGACTTGACACTCACGGTGTCCGACACAGTGACCCAGTACCTGGGACTGAATGTCGTCGAAGACAACTCGGCGTTCTACCTACACGCCGGAAAATACGCAGGCACTGTCGCGAAGAAATTCGGTCTAACGCCGACTACGGTCCCGACTCCCTACCGCTACGGGAACAACATCAGCACCTCCGCAAAACTCCCCGCGAAGCAAATCCAGGAGTATCAGCAGAAGCTCGGCTGCCTACTATTCGCAGCAGTAACATGCCGACCCGATCTATCTTATAGCGCGAGCCAACTGGCGACGCACCTGAAGCAGCCGGAACAAGAAGATCTCGAGGAACTTAATCGGGCACTACTCTACTTCGTCTCCACGCCGACGACCGGGCTTACTTACAGTAAAGCAACGACACCGTCCGAACAACTACTCGGGGACGTCGACGCCGACCACGCGGGAGACAAGGGAAATCGACGATCGAGAACGGGCTACATCTACCGACTAGAACCTATCGGGACTAATCTCCTGGCAGTCGAGCAAGCAGGAACTAATCGCACTATCTTCGGCTGAAGCAGAATATATCGCCCTCTGTACTGCGACCAAGGAAGGACTCTACCTACGAGAGTTGCTCGAGGAAGCGAAGATTGCGACCCTGCCCGTCTTCTCACTCCTCTGCGACAACCAATCTGCAATCAAAATCGCGAACAAGGACGGCTTTGCCAACCGAACCAAGCACATCGCCCTGCGGTACTTCTTCGTCAAGGATGAAATCGCGAAGGGGAGACTTCAACTCAGTTACTGCCCTACGACAGAAATGGCCGCAGACTATCTGACGAAGAAATTGGCGAAGGCAAAATTCGATTACTGCACGCTGCTGACCGGGCAGACAAACGTCACCGGATCTGAACACGTCAGCACTCCAGAAACGAAGGGGAGTGTTGGAAATATCTCAAAGGACTTAAGCGTTTCTGAAGTGTAACACTACACTCGAGGAAGATCGCAACGGGTACGCGAGTCAACGGAGGTTACACGAGGGGATGGACAAAGAACACGAAGGGACTCGAAGGGTCGCAACTGGAGGTTGCGACTGACCGTTACAACTGCGCGGATGGTAACCGAAGCGACAATCGAGTCGCTGTGCGACTCGATAACCGCTCCTGCAACTGTATACTACAACTGCTTTACTTTCCTATTTTCTATATATTGCTCTATGCTTGTTTCCTTAATCAATCACTTGTTCTCATATACCGTAATCCCCCGGATATAACACCCCGGGTATAGTACAAAATTCATGCAAAATCAGGGGGGTGGGTGCTCTATTTTGCGTTTAGGCTATAGCACCCTGGTGTTATATTTGAGGACAGAATTTTTAAGATGTGAATTAGATTCAGTGCGTCATGGCGATTTCAGCCATTCAAATTCCGGCTGAAAAGGCGTACGTTTTCTCGAGGTCCGGAATAGCCCCGGATTGCCCACTTGCTCACGAATTTCAGGTTTGTGTCAGGTTAGTGAAGCGAGATTGGGGGGTTGGCGACACTCGCAATGGACTGAACGAAAATTGCGACGCTCATCAGCCAATCAGCACAGGTCTGTCGCACAATTGAAACAAAAATTGTCGGCTCACTGCGCTTTTCCAGGTGAAGATTTGTTTCACTTAGTCGTTTTCAGTACCAGAGAACCTCGTCAAGTGCCTCGGAAAATTTCAACTTTTGCGTCCTGGTCATAATCAGCATGAAATAGCATGAAAAAAACTGCATTTGTTGCTGGTATTGTTAGGGGTACAAGGGTTCGAATGTAATGGGGGGGGTGCTCTCCTGGAACCCTCAAAAAGAGGGTGTATAATTGCGGATTCTTCAATAGAACACCCTCCCCGGATATAACACCAGGGGGTGCTTAATTTCGGCGGGTGTTATATCCGGGGGATTACGGTACTAGTACAAGGGTTCAACTACTCAACTTCCGCTGCACTACTCAAGTCTCATTCTACGACTGGGACTTAGTCTCTGGAAAGATCCTAAGGGCTTTTCTCAGCCCAACAATTGTATCGTCATTGATTGAGTGAACACTTCGTTATTCATTTCCGCACTACTCTGCCTGTTCATTCATAACAGTGGTGCATTTTGGCTGGTAGAGGTTGTCTATAATGTAACACAATTCCTTGATACAGCATGAGGCGAGAATGTAAAACGCAATTAGAGCATTTGGTCAGTATGTACACAAATGTCTGGAGGCTTTGCTACATGTTAGCATGCCTTTTTTACCCGCTCAATGGGGTCGCTAGCTTTACTGGAGTGGCTTTCAGAAGGGTGCTGCTGCTGCTGCTGCTGAGCCTCTCATACCTACCTGCTCCCTCTACCACCAAATGTAGTCCCCTAAACGAGCAAAATAGCCTTTTCAAGGTGACCGAAGAAGTCACCACCATCCATACTCGCTTCTAGACAACCTTTATACCGATCTAATACCGCATGTAGTACCTACCCCTGTGAACACCTCCACTACACAGCACATCTCTGCACAGTGCCACCCTCACCTCAACCCTCAAGCCGTCTCGTGCCACCCCCACCAGACTCCTCAACTCCAGTCTCCCCCCCCCCTCGTGTCATTGCCTGAGTTCCAGCTGCACGTCCTCCATGCCCCACCGTGCCTTGTGCCTCTCGAACAGCGCCTGCACCTCCTCGTAGTACCGGTCGCGGATGGCCTGCAGATGCTCTAACGGCATGGGCTTGCCGGGGTCCAGGGATGTGGGGAGCATGGCGGTGGGGTCGAAGGGGCGGCCGACAACGAGGGTGACGGGGGCGGTGCGGGGGAGAGGCAGCAGGCCGAAGAGACCGATGGGCAGAAAGGGGATGGGGAAGCCAAAGCGCCGGTAGGTGAAGCGCTGGTGGGCAATGGAGGAGAGGGAGGAAGGGGGATGCAGGGGGTGCAGGGGGTGGGGGAGGGAGAGGGAAGAGAGTGGATGTGAGTGCTGTGCAAAAGTTGACAGCGAATAAGGGCAGGCAAAATACACAAGGAAAGGAGTGAGATGACAAACCACCATCAACATGCAAAGAAAACCAGCCCTGCATCTGGCGGCACAGCCTCCCCCTCTTGCTCCCCAAGGAATGCTGGCCCATGGCTCTCCTCACTCCTGTCCCCTTCCCCTGTGCTGACCTGCAGCGAGGGCATGTGGAAGATATTGTCGAAGAGCGCGGCCTCGCCGAAGCAGAAGATGGGAACGAGCAGTGAGCGCGTCTCCACCGCCATGCGCACAAACCCCACCTTGCGCGCACACAGCACCACCACGCGCTCGCTGCTCGCCCCGTGGTACGACAGCTCCGACTGGCAAACACATGGGCGGGGAGGGTGGAGGGAGACATGAGCGAGGGAGACGTGGACTTGAATGGGCTGTGTGCAAATGACGAGGGTTGTAGACAGGAGGGGACAGGAGTGGGCGTAAACTATACAGCAGCCCCACACACACACACGATAGAACAAGGCATCCATTCCGCTATCCCGCCCTGTCCGCACCTGTCCGCCGGGGCACACGATGGCAGCCTGCTGGTCGTGGATGGCGGCCTTAAACCCCTCACGCGACACCTCCCGCAGCCCGCCCCAGAGGCAGAGCTGGCGCAGCAGCGGCACGCGGAAGAGAACGGACGCCACCAGCGCCACAGGGCGGATGCCGGGGAGCAGCGCCGCCCACGCGGACGTGTGGAAGAACCACGCCATTATCGCCGGGATCAGCCCGTGCGGCTGGGGGGGGGGGGGGGGAGAGAGAGAGAAGGTGGAGGGGGGAAGAGGAAAGTGAGGAAAGTGAGGAGAGGAGAGGGGAGAGGGCGGTAGGGGAAGAATGGGGGTTGTGGGAGCAGTGCGGGGGTTGGGGGGAAGACAAAGCGGAGAGAGAAGAGTGAAAGCGGAGAGTGTAGCAGCAGGCAGGGAGATGAGCGTTTCATTGAGGTCCAACTTACAGAGCTGGGCTTTTCAACAGAGGATACATACAACGGGTGAGCATGCAGCAGCGGCCGCCGCCCTTACATGGTAGGTGAAGATGTATCGTTGATCCGCGGGGTAGAGCGACGCGTCTCCCTCGCGCACGATGCGCACAGCATTGAAATACGCTGCGGAGCACTCCTCCAGCAGCCAGATGCAGCTGACGACGGCGAGCAGGGAGTGCAGTGGCGGATGGGGGAAGAGGAGGAGAAAGGAGAAAAAAGGGAGAGAGTTGAGAGAACGGAACATGGAGGGGCGAGAGGAACGGTAGGTTGGATGGAAATACGTCTCCTCGCGGAGAATCGGAGGGGCAATCACTATTTCCAAGTGGCCGTTCTATGGTTGCAGCAAGCGATACACGGGGGCACTCACTATGGTTGCAGCCAGAGCCAGTGGCTCTTGCCGTTCCGCTCCCGGTTGTTACCACACACGTTGCAGTACACGAACGCCGCCAGCACGCCCGCGTACACGGGCACGGCCGTGCGCACCTCGCAGCACAGCGCGGGCATGCAGATGGAGATAGCGAGCGCGTGCTGTATCGCGTACATGAAGCACACGGAGAAGAGCGCCCGCGCCTTCACCCAGCACCACCACACCACCTCCCACGCCGTCACCGGCGCGTCCAGCCGCAATTCATCACGCCCCTCCTCGTCCCTGCAGTCCCCATCGCTCTCCTCCGCCGCGAGTAACGGCAGGGATTCCGGAATGCTATCAGCATCTGACGCGGGCTTGCCGCTCCGCTCAGCGTTCCCCCCGCCATCCATCTCCTGCTGTGGTCTATTCTTCTCCCCCGTATTCCTATTCACCATCGTCTCCACCACTTCCGCACCGTTTCCCTCCCCCATAATCCCCTCGGCTCGCCTCCCCGTCTTCCCCAGCGCGCTCGCCAGCAGCAGCGGCAGCATCTGCGCGGGGTTGCGCGTGGCGAGCGCGAGCTGCCGCGCCGTCCACGGCGCGGGGCACACCACGCGCATCTCGCCCTTCTCCGCGCTCACTCGCGCGCTCCCCTCCTTCTCATCCCTCCCTTGCACTGCCGACCCCGTCTCCCCATGCGCCTCCACCTGCTCCCGGTATAAGTTTCGCGCAGCGGTCTCTGATTCAGCTGCTGTCGTCTCCTCCCGCCCTGCAGATTCGGCAGATTCGGCTGTTCCCGCGGACTCGCGAGTCGCAAGGATTGGCTTCTTCGCACTCCTGCCGTTCGCATCATGCCGTTGGATAGACTGCGACGGGAAGCCTTCCTTGATCGACCGCGAGGGGGCAGTCGCTCCTCGCGGGCAGTCTCCAGGGGATTCGAAGATGAGCAGCGAGGCGATCAAGAGGAACTCGGATGCGAGGCCGGTCACACCGGCGGACGCGAGAAGACCCTGGCCGAGCAGCGCGCGGCCGATGAAGGCGGCGACGCACGCGACGCTGGAGAAGACGAGGAGCGAGAAGGCGAAGAGCGTCCACGCCATGGCCTGCATGAGGATGAAGCGCACGCCGCCCACGAACGGCTGGAAAAACATCCACGCCAGGTGCCGGTACTTCATTCGCCCGCCCAGCCCGTGGGTTATAACCGCCGCGCAGCAGATCCCGGACGCACTGAGCAATGCGGAGAGCGCGACGTAGAAGTTACCCGCGGGGCTGCTGCTGGTTGAGACGAGGGCTCGGTCTATTAGAGATGTGTCGAGTCTGGTGGGACTTAGACCGGAAAAGCCGCGGCTAGCGCGGAAAATGAGGTTCGGGACGCGAGACTGGTCCGAGAATACGCGGGCGGCTAGAGAGACGATGTTGGGGCCCCATTGGGGGAAGGTGTCGACTGCTGCTGCGAATGCGGACGACCCCATAGCGATCGCCAGGCTCACAGCCATGACCGCCATGAATCGCCTCTCTGCGACGCGTTTTCTGCGACTGGCCTGCGACTGCGACGACGGAGAAGATTGTCGTTTGGAGGGACATGTGGGAGAGTCGGGAGATGGTTGGGGAAGGGAGTTTTCTGTCGAGCGAATGCTGGAGCAGCGAGATATCTTATCCGGGGACATGCTTTTATCCTCCCGCCGAACCATGGCGGATACGTGACTGCCACCGCGAGACGCGGATGGGGAATGCGGATAGAATAGACGCTCGAGTTGAAAACAATGGCTTGAGCCAGCGAGATCAAACTGAGAAATGTAAGAGATCGGGAGGACGGAGTATGCGGAGAAAATAAGAATCCCGTCGCACACAGGGACACGAGTTCATTTGAGCTCGATCTGTGACCAGGGAACCCCCCCCGCGCCTGACCGCCATGGATGTCAGCCGTCACAATGGTCGCTGAGCTGACCCGAGTCCCTCACTGCCCTGGCCCCCTCTACAGTAATCTGTCCCGTCGCTCCTTCCCGTCCCCAACCCAGCCACCCACCCTTGCTCTTCGCCCACTTTCGCTGAACTTGCGCTGCGCCCAACCAGCACCCTTCAAGCCCATCAGCATTCAGGCTCGGCGACTCCCGAACAGCCAATGACGACGCACCCGTACCACCTGGAACTTGATCTGGTCGAATCTGGGATCTGCGCGCCCAGGCCAACCATTTAGATTTGGAGCTTTGGTGGGGAGAGGGGGACCAAGGCTGCTATGGTCAATATGACTCGACCAAACTGCTTTTTTACTGCAGGGGTGGTGCGGCGATTCCAGAATTTAGTTCGGGCTGGGATTCATGCACCAGAGCGATGCTCTGATTGGTGAACAGATCTGATTTAGGGGCGCGAACGTCTCGGCTCGGTTCGGAAAATGCGGGACATTTTGAAAGGTCTGGCCTGGTTTGCACTGTACTGTACCCACCAACCAGGCAAGGGAATGACGGTCACAGATCATGCGATGCCACCTCCAGTGACAAAGAAGCTGCCGTCGCCGTCTAGAATCTGGATGTATACAAACCCTTGAGGCGACTGGCTGGCAGCCTACGAAGCACCCCTGATCGCTCAATCTATTGGTCGAATTTGCTGTCGCAGCCAACGCACCGACTGACCTGACTGCAGGCATTGCTCAGACCTCACCCCTCTCTCAACCGTCCGTCTCCGTCATGCCCTCCTAAATTCACGCAGATCCACGCAGGGATGCTGCTGACAGCGTATATCCGTTTGCGAAACCCCGTTGTGCGTTTGTGGCTTATTCAAATCAGTCCAACTTCTACAAACGTAAATCCTCCAAAAACCCAATGATGCAACCTATCACCTTACATCCAATGATTAGTAATAATCCCGAAATATTTCATGCGAAGCAAACCCATATGTATGCTGCTTGAAAGTACGCTTTGGTTTTGTGACTAAAATATCGCGTACCAGCTTGGAGAATAGCATCACCATCATCGCAGTGTACAGATATATGGTACCAATTCTTCAACCTACCAAACCCCGACAAAACCTTATTCCTCCGACGAAGGGTTTAATTTCGCCAAACGAAACGTGTCGTCGTCTCCCCTCAACCCTCACACCCTCACGTTCGCGCTGTGTGCTGCCTACTAGTTTCTTGCGCCGTGGCCTGTCCTGACACATCGTTCTAGACCTTTACACTCTCCACCGACAGGATGGGCAAGTCGTTACGGTCGAAGCGCATGCAGCGGCTGAAGGCTAAGAAGAGGGACATCGCGGAGCAACACTACGACGCCAAGGAGGAGCCCACCCGCAATATCCTCGACGCTATAGTGGCGGCGCCGTCGGTGTACACGTCGCACGTCGAGAAAATCGCGCAGAAGAAGGCAACAGGCTCCTCAGGCGATGGTATGTTTTCCTGAAAATTTTAATCCCCTCCTCACTCTCTTGCGAATTACCTCATATGTTCATGCCTCTCTTGCTTACCCTATCACATGTTTCTTCCCCCTCCCCCCCCCTCCCATCCCTTACCTCCGCTGCGACCCTTACAAAATCCCCCCCCGATAACGCGCGCCGACGCCCGTCAGATGCGGAGATGGACGCGGAAGGAGCGGGGAACGCGGAGGGCGCGGCGGCGATGGACGAGGACGGGAAGGGCGCGCGGAACAAGCGGCTAGGGGTGCGGAACAAAGTGATCGGGAAGACCAAGGGCGCGCGGGGGAAAGCGCTCAAGGGGACGAGCGGTGGGCGCAAGTTCAGCTCGCGGAAAACGGTGAAGGGGAAGAAAAAGGGGCTGAAAATACCCAAGAAGGTGACGGCTAAGCTGGCACGCAAGTCCAAGTACCCTGTGTGACGCAGCTGCCCGGTGGATTGGAATAACGCGGTACACCTGATTGAGATTGAGCCGCGTCCTGCATATGCTGCCCACAGCATGCCACGGCTCACATCATGGATGTTGCTCTGCTCTCGGCCACTTGTTTCCCATGAGTACCGGTGATTGAGTGCTTGGGTTGGGGTACTCTCATGTCAGGGATGGGATGGGACTTCGCTGTTCCATATGGTGGCCTTCTCTCCTCTGGCTAGTGTAGCATACGGCAGGAGGGACGTGTTAGTGACTGGCTTTGCGATACGGAAGCAGCACTGGAAAGTGCTTGACGTCCTTCTTGACACCATAGGATTACCTGCACTAATGTATGCGCTGTTCTGATAGAGTGACTCGATCTGTGTAGGCAATAAACAAACCGGTATCACATTCTACTGTAGGCTACCTGCATCAGTAATGAACATTCATGGCACACGGGAAGAAACCCATACCAAACCTACGTTGAACAGACCTACGGAAGTACTACACTACTCTGAGGGACACGTCACATCTTCCTGACTGACAGGGCTAAACACCAACTGTACTAGGACCATCAATTTCACATGTGTGTGTAGCTGTCTCTAGGCAGGTTGCTCGAGAATGTGGAGGGACCGCTCCACAGCGTGCAGTATCATGCGCTTGACCTGCGAGAACAATGGCACACACAAACAGGCATGAATGCATTCCACTATTTGCAGTGGCAATGTGACGTGTGAGCGCACGCACAGCAAACGGAATACCCACAAACGTATGGCCATTGGCCATGCAATCAAACATCTATGCACACTCAATTGCCTACACCATTCCACATTCTCAATCACACAGACGTACACATGCCATCCTCCCTCCCCCACTCTCCACCACACCTGCCGCTCGTTGCCCTTGCATCATTCTCTCTGCCCCCAACCCCTCCGACCTCCGCGCCTCACCTCGAGCCTGTCCTCCTTGGAGCGGTGGTGCACGGGCATGGTGCGGAACTGCGCGGTGAGGGCCACGCAGTGCGAGATGGTCTCCGGGGACACAAAGTCCACCGCCACCTTCATGTTTGACTGGGGGGGGAAGAGAGGAGTTTGAAGGGGAGGGCAGGGAATGAGAGTGACAGGTGAGAGGTGGACGGGTGGCACAGAGAAAGTAGTGAGTAGTGTAGAAAGATGAGCCGTCTGCTCGTCATTGTCCTCCACCGCTCGTCACTGTCCTCCACCGCTCGTCACACCACCCGACACCACACGTCAACGCCCGTCACTGCCCTTGACCGCCCGTGACCGCCCGCCCGCCACTACCCGCCACCGCCCGTCACGACCCGTCACCGCCCGTCACCACCCGTCACTGCCCGTCACCGCCCACCACCACCCCGTCAACGAACGTCACTGCCCGTGACCGCCCGACACCGCCCGCCCGCCACCACCCGCCACCACCCGTCACCGCCCGTCATCGCCTGTCACCACCCGTCAACGCCAGCCACCAACCGCCACAGCCTTTCACCGCCCGTCACAACCGGTCACCGCCTATCACCGCCCGTCGCCGCCCGTCATCGCCCGCCACCAGCCGCCACCAGCCGCCACTACCTGTCACCCCCCGGCACCACCCGTCACAGCTCGTAACCGCCTGTGACTGCCTGCCCGCCACCACCCGTAACCACCCGTAACCACCCGTGACCACCCGTCACCGCCCGTCACCGCTCGCCACCGCCCGTCTCCGCCCGTCACCACCCGTCAACGCCAGCCACCAACCACCACCGCCATCACCGCCGTCACCACCCGTCACCGCTCGTCACCGCCTGTGACCGCCCTTGACCGCCCGCCCGCCACCACCCTCACCACCCGTCACCGCCCGTCACCTCCCATCACCGCCTGTCACCGTCCGTCACTGTCCATCACTGCCCGTCACCACCCACGGGGTGGCACCGACCATCACCTCCCACCACCTGTCACCACCCGTCGCCCTCCTCACTGCCCGTCACCACCCTTCACTGCAGGCAGTGGGTTCATAGTGTGTGAATGTGCGTGAATGAGTGCATGTGAGGGAGTGCGTACCATGAGGTTCCTCACTTGGTGCGCACATCCAGCAGGGATGAAAACGGCCTCGCCTCGCCGCTGCTCAAACGTCCAGGCCTCCACTCCTGCAGGCCATGCAGGCGAGAGGATGCACATGAGGAGTGATTACAGAAATATTAAGTATGGGAGGCATTGGCATGGCAGGTAAGGCAGGTGTGGGAGTCATGGGAGGCACGCAATGAGAGGAGCAGCGGCAAGGAGACGGCACAACAGCATTGATCGCATGGCGGACCACATGCACGGAAGATGGGATGGTGCACACGTGTGGCATGGCATGGCATGGCATGGACGTACCGAACTCGTCAAAGAGCATCTCCTTGTGCCTGGCGGTGAGGTACACCGTCTGGTCGTGGATCTCGTCATCCATCTGCTCTCACCACACACGTTTGTGGGGCAACGTGGGTAGGGGAGGGGGGAGTGAAAAGTGGAAGCAGAGACCTTCTTGCTCTCTGCTTCTTGATCAAGATAGGAACCACACCCGGCAGGCAAGGAAGCAGGAACAAGCGAGGGCACGGGGCACTGACCGACTGGATGACTTGGTTGTGCAGGTGGCGGAAATCGTGCCGGTGCCGTGCAATGAAGGCGCGGATCTTGTCAGAGTCCTCCCTCCTGAATATGTCCCACAGCGCTGCGCCCTCACTCCCTGCCTCTGCCCCCAGCTGGATGGCGCTCCCTGCTGCTGCCTGCTGCTCACTGCCACCACCACTGCCACCGCCACTGCCACCACCACTGCCACCGCCACCTCCTTGCCCGTTCCCATTCCCCCCTTCCTTTTCCGCCCTCTCACTCTTGGTCGCCCCGTCTCTCCTGTGCCCGCCCTCACCCCCCTCCCAGTCCTTCTTCCGCATCAGCCCCTGCAGGCGCTTGCTGGGAGGGCGGTAGTGGCAATGAGTCAGGATATTCACCTGGAGAAGGATTGAAAGAGAGGGGGGGGGTGGGAGGGGGGGGAGAGGGGGGAGGGGGGGGAGGGGGGGGTTAGGGGGGTACTGAGAAGGTGCAGGGAAGAGTGGGGAGGGGAGAATAGGGGGGAAGAGGGAGTTAGCAGAGAATTAGGGTCGATGGAGGAGGGATATGAAATACGGAATGTTGGGAAGGGACGAGGTAAGGAACGGGAAAGGGAATGACGGCATGCAGGATTGGACGCTGTTGAAAAAAGTCAGAGCACAACATCCCGTGCAGCACCATCCCCTCTCATTCCAATGGCACGTGCTCCAACTACTTGCCCTTGCCCACCCCTCTCCCGTCACCCCACTATCACTCCCACTACCCATCCGCCACTCATCCTGTCCTCCCTTCCCCTCCCCATTCCCCTTTCCCTCTCCCCCCCTCTCCCCAAACCCTTCTTCTCACCGCATCCGCCATGTCGAAGTGCAGCTTGGTCACCGAGTCCCCCTGCACCAGCTCCTCCCTCACTCCATACGCGATATAAGCCTTGGGGCCCATGTCCGGCTTCGGATCGCCCTTGGGCACGGCCGTGGCCAGGTTCAAAAGGCCCTTCTCCGGATGCGTGTACTCATGCAGTGGCAGCGCCGCCAGGAAGTCAGCCCCGTGCCTGGGAAGCCTATCCTGGAAGACAGCAGTAGGGGGCCAGTCCTTCACTTTGAGCATCTCAGGTATCCTCATACTCTTGGACTCCTTCCCCATGTAGCTTTCAAAGAAGAGGTGAGTGCCGATCTCCACCTCGGTGCAGTCCTCGCAGTCCACGGCCACCACGGTGAGCTTCTCCTGCACGCTGCGCCCCTCCTTGGTCTCGCGAAACGCGCGCCACATCACCAGCGGCGCCCAGCTCAGCCCGTCCTTCACGGACGGCGGCATCACGTGCCGCACGATCACCGGCTCGCCGCGCTGCCAGTGCTGCTGGAAGTGGGCCAACGCAGTGGGGCAGTGGCCGATCGGGAGAGGGCACGCGGGGACTCCATTGGCAGTGGCAGGAGGGGGCAGAGGGGCAGGAGAGGCACGAGCAGCAGCAGCAGGAGCAGCAGGAGCAGCAGGAGCAGCAGGGGCAAGGTCTTGGGCGGTGGGGCAGAAGATGAAGCTCGAGCAGGAGGAAGGAGGTCGAGTAGAGGCCAGGCGCAGCCCCTTGCTCTCCGCCATCTGCTGTAGCCGCTGCAGGCCGCGGGCAGGGACGGCAGGGACGGCAGGGAAGGGGGCCACTGCTGGGGCCGCTACTGTGGGAGAAGTGCCTGTGGTGGTGGCTGTGGTGGTGGCGGTGGTGGCAGCAGGGGCGGTCAGAGTGGCGGATTGGTGGGGTTTCATGAGGAAGTCTAGACCACGCACAGGGGGGCTCTCACGCACAGGGGGGCTCTCACGCACAGGGGGGCTCTCACGCACAGGGGGGCTCCTATCTCGGCTCTCATTGTCACCGCCCTCCCTCCTTACACCCCCCTTCTCTGCCTTGCTTTGCTCGTCCTCTCCCTTTTCCGTTCCCTTCCCCTCCTGAGTCGCTCTCCTCCTGTAATACCTGCCCGTCTCCTTCCCGCTCCCCTCTGCTGCCTCACTATCGCCCGCCACCCCGTTTCGTGTGGTTGCATCTGCAGCATGACGGGCAGTGCTGCTGCTGCTGCCGCCTCTACCGCCACCTCTCACCTCCTGCAGCAGCTGCACTACACGCTGCTTGCACGACGAGCAGCATGGGAATTGATCAGCAGCCACCACGGGGATGTTTCCAAATGCCACCTGCGCATTCCTCGCTGCAGCAGCAGCGGCAGCAGCAGCAGCATCGTCAGTACTCCCAGCACCACCAGCATCATCAGCATCAGCCGCCAGGCTACTGCCACCACTAGCCTGCTTCTTCTCTTGTTGCGTCTTCCCCATCTCCTTTACGCCCCCCTCCCCCTGCGCCCCTAGAGCCTCCTCTGCCCGCTCCACCAGGCGGTCCAGCCACTCAGCAGCACGCAGCAGTCGCAGCTCCAGCCACGGCCCCTGCGTGCCTTCCCCCCCGCACTCTCTCTGTGCGCGCCTCTTGCTGCTGCACGCCTTGGAAGGGCACTGCAGCCGCCCATCCTTGTCCACCTGCCATCGCTCCACTAGGTGCTTGGGAACCCCGTCCCTACCCGCCTCATCATCCCCACCTGCCGGCCTCTCCTCGCCCGCCTTACCCTTAGCCTTGTCTCCATGACCTGGCTCTGCCTCAGCTCCTTCCGAGACGCCATCTGCCTCCCCATTCCTCTCCCCCGTCCCGGTCCTGCTCCTAGCGCGACTGCTCCTGCTCTCCCCTCCCGTACTGCCCCTCTTCGTCTTGCCTTTCTCCTTCTCCCCCTTGTCTTCCTCCACCTCTGCCCCCCCCCCCTCCTCACGCCTCTCCAGCCTCCTCTCCTCCTCCACCATGCCCTGGAACGCCTTAGCCCCACCGGGAAGATCCCCTGAGCGCGCTTCACGGCAGCACTGCAGACACAGGTCGAAGCCGCACTCGGAGCACGTGCAGTGCATGCCAGCTATGCCCGTGTAGCAGTGCGAACTGGAAGAGGGGAGGTGCGGAGGGGAAAGGAGGGGACTGGGAAGTGAGGCGGAGAGGTCGGGATTGGGAGGATTGGGAGGATTGGGAGGATTGGGAGGATTGGGAGGATTGGGAGGATCGGGAGGATTGGGAGGATTGGGAGGATTGGGAGGATTGGGAGGATTGGGAGGATTGGGAGGATTGGGAGGATTGGGAGGATTGGGAGGAGTGGGAGGAGTGGGAGGATTGGGAGGATTGGGAGGATTGGGAGGATTGGGAGGATTGGGAGGATTGGGAGGATTGGGAGGATTGGGAGGATTGGGAGGATTGGGAGGATTGGGAGGATTGGGAGGATTGGGAGGATTGGGAGGATTGGGAGGATTGGGAGGATTGGGAGGATTGGGGGGGAGGATTGGGAGGATTGGGAGGATTGGGAGGAGTGGGAGGATTGGGAGGATTGGGAGGATTGGGGAGGATTGGGAGGATTGGGAGGATTGGGAGGATTGGGAGGATTGGGAGGATTGGGAGGATTGGGAGGAGTGGGAGGATTGGGAGGATTGGGAGGATTGGGAGAATTGGGAGGATTGGGAGGATTGGGAGGATTGGGAGGATTGGGAGGATTGGGAGGATTGGGAGGATTGGGAGGATTGGGAGGATTGGGAGGATTGGGAGGATTGGGAGGATTGGGAGGATTGGGAGGATTGGGAGGATTGGGAGGATTGGGAGGATTGGGAGGATTGGGAGGATTGGGAGGATTGGGAGGATTGGGAGGAGTGGGAGGATTGGGAGGATTGGGAGGATTGGGCGAATTGGGAGGATTGGGAGGATTGGGAGGATTGGGAGAATTGGGAGGATTGGGAGAATTGGGAGGATTGGGAGGATTGGGAGGATTGGGAGGATTGGGAGGATTGGGAGGATTGGGAGGAGTGGGAGGATTGGGAGGATTGGGAGGATTGGGAGGATTGGGAGGATTGGGAGGATTGGGAGGATTGGGAGGATTGGGAGGATTGGGAGGATTGGGAGGATTGGGAGGATTGGGAGGATTGGGAGGATTGGGAGGATTGGGAGGATTGGGAGGATTGGGAGGATTGGGAGGATTGGGAGGATTGGGAGGATTGGGAGGAGTGGGAGGATTGGGAGGATTGGGGAGGAGGATTGGGAGGATTGGGAGGATTGGGAGGATTGGGAGGATTGGGAGGATTGGGAGGATTGGGAGGATTGGGAGGATTGGGAGGATTGGGAGGATTGGGAGGATTGGGAGGATTGGGAGGATTGGGAGGATTGGGAGGATTGGGAGGATTGGGAGGATTGGGAGGATTGGGAGGATTGGGAGGATTGGGAGGATTGGGAGGATTGGGAGGATTGGGAGGATTGGGAGGATTGGGAGGATTGGGAGGATTGGGAGGATTGGGAGGATTGGGGAGGATTGGGAGGATTGGGAGGATTGGGAGGATTGGGAGGATTGGGAGGATTGGGAGGATTGGGAGGATTGGAGAGGGATTGGGAGGATTGGGAGGATTGGGAGGATTGGGAGGATTGGGAGGATTGGGAGGATTGGGAGGATTGGGAGGATTGGGAGGATTGGGAGGATTGGGAGGATTGGGAGGATTGGGAGGATTGGGAGGATTGGGAGGATTGGGAGGATTGGGAGGATTGGGAGGATTGGGAGGATTGGGAGGATTGGGAGGAGTGGGAGGATTGGGAGGATTGGGAGGATTGGGAGGATTGGGAGGATTGGGAGGATTGGGAGGATTGGGAGGATTGGGAGGAGTGGGAGGATTGGGAGGATTGGGAGGATTGGGAGGATTGGGAGGATTGGGAGGATTGGGAGGATTGGGAGGATTGGGAGGATTGGGAGGATTGGGAGGATTGGGAGGAGTGGGAGGATTGGGAGGATTGGGAGGATTGGGAGGATTGGGAGGATTGGGAGGATTGGGAGGATTGGGAGGATTGGGAGGATTGGGAGGATTGGGAGGATTGGGAGGATTGGGAGGATTGGGAGGATTGGGAGGATTGGGAGGATTGGGAGGATTGGGAGGATTGGGAGGATTGGGAGGATTGGGAGGATTGGGAGGATTGGGAGGATTGGGAGGATTGGGAGGATTGGGAGGATTGGGAGGATTGGGAGGATTGGGAGGATTGGGAGGATTGGGAGGATTGGGAGGATTGGGAGGATTGGGAGGATTGGGAGGAGTGGGAGGATTGGGAGGATTGGGAGGAGTGGGAGGATTGGGAGGATTGGGAGGATTGGGAGGAGTGGGAGGAGTGGGAGGAGTGGGAGGATTGGGAGGATTGGGAGGATTGGGAGGATTGGGAGGATTGGGAGGAGTGGGAGGATTGGGAGGATTGGGAGGATTGGGAGGATTGGGAGAATTAGGAGGATTGGGAGGATTGGGAGGATTGGGAGGATTGGGAGGATTGGGAGGATTGGGAGGATTGGGAGGATTGGGAGGATTGGGAGGATTGGGAGGATTGGGAGGATTGGGAGGATTGGGAGGATTGGGAGGATTGGGAGGATTGGGAGAATTGGGAGGATTGGGAGGATTGGGAGGATTGGGAGGATTGGGAGGAGTGGGAGGATTGGGAGGATTGGGAGGATTGGGAGGAGTGGGAGGATTGGGAGGATTGGGAGGATTGGGAGAATTGGGAGGATTGGGAGGATTGGGAGGAGTGGGAGGATTGGGAGGATTGGGAGGATTGGGAGGATTGGGAGGAGTGGGAGGAGTGGGAGAATTGGGAGGATTGGGAGAATTGGGAGGATTGGGCGGATTGGGAGGATTGGGAGGATTGGGAGGATTGGGAGGAGTGGGAGGATTGGGAGGATTGGGAGGATTGGGAGGATTGGGAGAATTGGGAGGATTGGGAGGATTGGGAGGATTGGGAGGATTGGGAGGATTGGGAGGATTGGGAGGATTGGGAGGATTGGGAGGATTGGGAGGATTGGGAGGATTGGGGGAAGGAGAAGGGGTGGGCGAGGGAGGATGAACAAGAGGTGCGCATGATTGCGTTTGTGCAAGCAGCATACCATTTCCGTTTCATCCACGCTTTTGCCATCCCCTCAGTGCTGTATGGCAATCCCCATTCACCTATATTGCCCCGAGTGTGCGTTGCTATCCAAAATCTTCCATGCGCATGCTACACCGCTCCCTCGCGACCCTACATTTTTCCACATGCGCCTTCACTCTTTCACCATCCCACTGCTCCCATGCCTCCCTCCCCCCCTCCCCCACCCCCACTGACCAGAATATTCTCTCGTTTTTTAGCAGCTGCGCGTGCTTCACCTTCAATGCTGGCGGGAGGAGGGGGAAGAAAAGGGGTATGGAGGGAGGGGCGCAGGCACGAGGGGTGCGTGAGAGGGGCGAGGAACGGCGCAAGTTGGTGAAGAGGCTGCAAAGCGAATGGGTGGTAGTGGCACGGGGGGTAGTGGCACGGGGGGTAGTGGCACGGAGGGTAGTGGCACGGGGGGTAGTGGCACGGAGGGTAGTGGCACGGGGGGTAGTGGCACGGGGGTTGGAAGCAACAAAGTGCCGACATTCTTAGGCTGGGGGAGGATATGCCGGCATTTGTTTATGCAAGGAGGGAAGGAGGAAGGGAATGAGGGGGCTGGGGGGAAGGGAGGGTCTATGTGTTTCAATCATGGACATGGAAGGGGCCGTGGAAGGCAATGTGGGGGGAGGAAGAGCAACGGCTCACAGGATGCTTTGACGCCTTGTCTGGCTGCCTCCTCCTGCAGCTCGTGCTGCTGCTCACGCTGCATGGCCTGCACATGCGGCACCACCCATGCCAGCACCCACCGCGCCATTGCCCTCTCCTGCTGGGGGGAACCCTCCGCCTTCTGCCATGCCAACCACAGGGCACGCGGGGGGTGACGTCGGAGGGGGAATGCAAGCAGAGGAGCGGAATCAGCAGTGTAAAAAGGGTGAGTGTGGGGAGTGGAGTGGACGCAACACGGGATGAGAATGGAGGAAGAGGTCAAACGGAAGCACAGGAGAAGAGAGTGAACTTGTGGAAGGTGAGACTTGGAGCAAGGGTGGTTCGAATGTTGCAGGGGTTCGGGGAGACCGGGAGGAAGGGAGAGGAATTGGGTTTGGTGGATGGTGGGAGGGCCAGCGTTGAGAGGGGGGAGAGGCGCGGATGAGGGCAGTTGACTTACAAAGGGAGGCGGCATGAAGGTGCGGAGGCATGTCTTGCAGTTGCACACGCCAAGGCACTTGGGGCAAATGGCTCGGATCTCCTCAGGCGTGTGGTAGGGGTACCTGGTGCAAATGCAGTGCAAGGCAGGGGACAGCTTATTTCAGCTTGTGACAGCTTAGCCGTACTGCCGTACTGACAGCTAATGACAGCTAGTGAGAGCTAGTGCGAGCTAGTGACAGCTAGTGAGAGCTTGTTCATTGCTTTTTTGTGTCCCGTACTGCCTCTAGATTCTCATGCTCTCACCAGTTGCGGATGCAGCCGTGGCAGAAGCGGTGAGTGTGCACCTTGCTGCAGATGGTGATGGTCTCCTTGTCGTTGCGCTGACACTGGTGGCACATGCGACTCTCGCTCTGCCATGCACTCCACCTCACGCACACACACACGCGCACACACACTCATGCACACACGCACACCCGCACGCACACACCACTACACACTCTCACACGCATACGCAACGTATGCGTTCACACATGAAAACATACATGCACACGCATACGCTTACGCGCACGCACAGGCACACATGCATGCATACGCATGCGACCACACACAAGGACACACAAGCACCATCATCCACCGAAAACGATTATTCTGTGGCGTGTCATCGGTGTTGCTGGTAATTGGTTCGTGCTATTTGCTGGTATCATGCACTAGCAGAGATGAGGCAGTGGATTACGGCCACCCTTTTCCTCCTATCCCTTCCACGATATCTCCATCTGCTTTCCCATTCCACGACTCACCTCCTGCCCTTTCCCTTCGTCGTTTTCCTTCAACTTCCCGGGGCCAACACTCTTCCTCCGTTTCCTCTCCCCTGAACTCGCTCCCGTCTCCTCCCCCACTCCCTTCCGCTTCTTCCTCCCCGGGCTGGCAGCCTCTGCCTCACCGTCCGCCTTCACCCCGCGCTTCCCCTCACGTTCCGCCTTTCTCTTGCGCCTCCCCGCGCCTTCCGCCTCTTCCCCTTCGCTCTCCGCACCCGCCAGCGCAACGGTCAGCGACTTCCCCATCCCCTGAATCACAAAGCGCGAATCCGCGGAAAGAACGCTGCGCAGACGCCCCTCCTGCGCGGATCCGCGCATTCTGCCCTCCACCGCGCCGAGCACTTCCGCCACCACTGCCGAAACGTCCGCGGAGATAGACGACTTTAGCGCGGAGAGTAGCTGGGTTAGAGGCAAGGCGCGCTGGGGGCTACTGGCGAGGAGATGGGCACAGGCGTCTCGCAGCACGTCTGCACGTGATGCTCTGCTGGCAGCAGCGCCTGTTGCCAACGGTGCTGTCCGCCCCCTAGAAGAGGCAGCTGCATCGGCAGCAGCAGCAGCAGCAGCAGGAGCAGGAGCAGAAGTAGTAGCAGCAGCAGCTCCGTTGCCGTTCCTCTCCTCGGTCGCGCCAGGCGTGCCTTCACCCGGAGCTTCCAACAAGTCCCACGGCGAGTCTCCCTCCACCGGTTCTCTCACCGCACCCTCATCCAGGTCAGTCTCCCCCGTTTTAGCCTCTCCCGTTCTAGTCTCTCCCGCTTCAGCCTCTTCCATTCTAGACCCCCCTGCCTCGTCCGTTCCAATCTCTTCCGTTTTAGCGTCTTCCGTTTCAATCCCTCCCGCCATAGCCTTTTCTGCTATAGTTTCTCCCGCTTTAGCCTCGTCTGTTCCTATCTCTCCCACTTTCGCCTCCCCCGCTTCAACCTCATCCATTTTAACATCTCCCGCGATAGCCCCTTCTGTTGTAGCCTCTCCCGCTATAGCGACTTCAGTTCTAGCCTCCAACGCTTTAGCCCCGTCCGTTGCTGTCTCTTCCGTTTTAACCTCTTCCGCACTAATCACTCCCGCTTGAACCTCTTCCGTTCTCGTATCTCCCGTTTTCGCCTCCTCCATTATAGTCTCTCCCGCTTTAGCCTCGTCTCCTCTGGTCGCTCCGTCTTGAGCCTCGCCTGTTCCTATCTCTTCCGTTTTGACCTTCTCCATTCCAGCCTCTCCCGCCCTGGCCGCGTCTGCTCTGGTCTCTCCCGCTTTAGCCTCGTCTCCTCTGGTCCCTCCATCGTTAGCCTCGGCTGCTATCTCGTCCGTCTTAACCTCCTCCATTCTAGTATCTCCCGCGTTTGACTCCTTCGTAGCTTCTCCCCTTACGGCATCTTCTGTTTTGCTCCCTCCCGCTCCTGCCTCTGTGCCTGTCTCCCCCGCTTCCGCCATTTTCTATCCAAACCTCAGCCTGCTATGGAATGTACCACTCGTTTTGTCCCTGAGCGTCTGCCGAATCTAATTTCTTGCAGTACAGCCTGAGAGCGCTCCCGCTGCAGTTCCTACGATTTCATTCTCAGATGTAACTGGCGAAGTACTGAGCTCTGAGGCGTGGGACATAGAGAAAGGGGAGTAAAAGGGAGGACGAAATGTGGAGACTTAGGCTCGATGACTGGATGCAGTATGGATTATAGTAGTACCTAGATCAGTGAGTGAGACATTGAGAGACCGTGCATCAAATCGAGTGCATCATCAAGTCAACCATTGAGGTCATCGGGAGTGCATGGAGATTATACACAGGGTGTACGCCCTGGGTGGAGGAAAATCCGTGGTTTGTTTGTTGCATTGCAAGCCCTCGCAGGGGAGATTTTGCCATGAGGACAGTGGAGTGGATAGGTTAAAATATCTGACACGCCGCAGTGCACAGGCAGGGATGGCGCAACGTTGTTGGTGCAACTCTGACGGGATAGGCCCATCGTTGCTGCGCTGGAGGTTTCGGCAGACCCAATACACGCTGGCTGCCTTTTGGAAACGAGAATCAGATGTGTAGATTACCTACACTTCACCTTTGTGTTGTTGTGCGGCATTTCAAAACTTGTACCGCCGTGAAAATCAAGATGTGATACCAGCACTACACGAACATTGTGCCTACGTTCCTTCTCTCGGGTGATTGAACGGATGCGTTCTAGTTTGGCCAAAAGGTTGGGGCATGTACCGTGAACTAGCACAGTGACACATGGGAGGCAATAACAACAAATTAACACTGGAAATCCACCACTTGTCATGTGTAGAAGACATTTGGATGGCGCATCAGGTTCTTAATTACAGCGTGCATGGTTTGCCGGGACTTGGTGCGCAATCTCTTGCGGTATAGACCATTGTTGAACACCTGTTGTCACACACAAAGAGGAAGGAAGGGGGGGGGGGAGTAAGAGGGGAGAGGGCTGGGTCATGAGGCATGTCACAACTCACAATATAAGGCTCTACACAGCAGACCTTCCAGACAGGCAGCATGGTAGATAGGGGCAACACAGACACACGGGAGACAACCCCTTGATCCCACCGCAGGAATAACAAAGAGTGACCAAAACACATGTTCCAGCTACTCTGGCAGCACACACCTTGTCGGGCTCGGTGCCGTTGCAGGGGAAGAACCAGAGGCGCAGGGAGTAGCCGCAGTTGGCAGCGATGGCGGGGTCGGAGGGGTGCAGCTGCCCCTCCTTGCCCAGGTCGCCGCACCCACACCGCTCCTCGTACCCCGCCTCCCCCGCCACGCCACACGCCCGCTGCAGCAGCTCCAGCTTGTTCTGCATGCCGTACACCATGCCTGAGCGGCAAGGTAGGTAGGTTGGGGGGGTTGAGGGGAGGGGATGGGGACAGGGAGGGGGAGGGGAGGTGTGTGGAGCTGGAAAGTCATGGGATAGCGTGACGAAATAGGAGAAGGCTGGAACGATGGAACAGGGGGAGGGGTGGGGATGCAGCCACTTCTAACAGCATCTTTGTGGTATGCCACCCAGCACCAGCCCCCCTTGCCCTGACTCACCAGCCTTGAACCTGTCGGGAGCGTCACTCCGAAACGCGAGCTGGCTCTCAATCATTTGAGGGATGTAGCGGCGGATGGTGGCGAAGGTGGAGTTGGCGTGCAGCCACGCTGGCTTCTGCTCCGCGTACAGACGGTGCACTGGGATCTGGGGGGGGGGGGGGGCATAGCGGAGAGGGGTAGAGAGGGACACATGAGAGGGTGGAGAGGATGGGAACCGGATGCAGGCTGCTGCTCCGCATGCAGGAACGGGCAGGCAGGCGAAGACTAGTGGGAAGAGAGCTGTCTGTGGTAGTGAGGAATCCCTTAAAAGAGGGAGTTATAGCTGACAGAAAGCGGCACCCACTCCCATCAATGTCCCCCCAGCAGCACGGACCTTGAAGTACTTGTACCCTTTCTGCTCCGCCTGGTCGGCGGACCGTCGGATGGCGGCCCACGCCTCCTGCGTGATGAAGTGGTTGCCGTCCAGCGGCAGCACCCAGCGCGCGCCCGCCCTCACGCCGTCGTCGATGGCGACGTTGCGGGCCTCGTTCTGCGCCGTCACCACGTCCAGCCACTGCTCGCGCGGGTGCTGCGATATCTGGGGGACGCCGGTACCAGGGAGAGGGAGAGCGCAGTGACGAGGCAGGGAATGGAGGAGCGGGGTGAAGCAACACGCCAGCTGCCGCATTGACTGCGTGGTTCCTAGGGGTACTGAGCAGCCTGTGCAAGGGCCTGGGCTTGGAGTTGGGATTTAGGGGTTGGGGAGAAGGAAGGGGAGGCGAGTTAACAGGTGAGGTGAAATTGAGGACGCGGAGAAAGCAAACCATAGGGGAGGAGCGAGGGGGGGAGGCAGAATCATAGGGAAGTCCCCGTTATGGAGGCGAAATTTTTACTCAGGCACTCATGATGGTTGTGCCTCTTGAGTACCTTGGTGAGGTTGAGGCGGCGGATGATGATGTGGGAGAGCGGGTAGCCGTGCGCGAGCAGCGTGTCGATGAGCAGCGCCCGCTCCGTGCGGTTCACGATCTGGTTGATCACCCACCGCTTCTCGCACCCCTCCAACTCGCCCTCGTGCCGCAACGCGTACTGCCCGCGGGGACGCAAGGGAGAGGGAGCGGCACGAGAGGCGTGGAATGGTGGTTTGGGGGGTGGGGGTGGGGGTGGGGGGGAGAGGGGAGGGGAGCAGGGGGAAGGAGGGAGCGAGAGGACTCAGAGAGAGACGCAAGGCGGTGTGATGGACAAGGATCCGCTGAACGAGCGGCGAGAGGGGATCGCGACGAGAGGATTGAGGGGAATCAGTGCGGGACTAAGAGGGCAGCGGCAGAACAAGGGCACCAGACAAGAACCAGCGCGCCAAGTGTGTGCGAGAGGGATGCAGCAGACAGCACGTGTGTGGCATAAGCATTCACAAGTCTCCGAGAGTTGATCAAGTCCTGAATTTAGCCACTCCCGCACCTGCGTATTCCATAGTAGCTGGCTAGGGCATTGCAGCGGCGGCATGTTGTTCCCTATAATGCGGTATAGGATAAATCTCGGCGGTTTCTTTCCTTCGCCCCGCTCAACGCCGTCGCCGCTGCTGCCCGTCTCCGCGATATTGACACTCCCCGCTAAGCTGCTAACGCCACTACTGCTAAATCTGCTGCTGCTGCTGCTGGAGCCACCACTGCCGGCCTCTGCATCGCCGGCTACCCAGCCGGCTTGAGAATCTGCCAGCGGCCGGCACTGCTGCAAGCTGCGACGAATGATCACTGTGAAGACCACCAGATGCGCCGCGATCACCGCAGTCCCCACCACCAGGAGCAGCGCCAATTGCGATCGACCCATTCCTCGTAGCCTATCTCGGAAACTAAAGACTCCACCGGCGCCTCCGCCTCCTACGCCGGCGGACGCGGCGGCCGTGGCGGAAAATCCTTGCGGCACGCCATCTGAGCCGCCGCGGCCGGGGGTTCGTTTCATGTGAGCGCGGCTTCTGAGTAATAACGGGTACGAGGAAAGGGGTGGAGAGGCAGGGTGCGTGAGGGGGCAGCGGAACGGCGCCAGCGGTGCTGCTAGGAAAACGCTGTGGGAAAACGGAGATTTCGGACGAAAGCGAAAGGCGAGGGAATAACAGAAAGCGGAACGACGGGATTGGGCTGGATAGAGTTAGGAGGAACACGACTGTGTACTAGTAAGCGAATTGTGCTTCTTCAAGCGGTAAGGCTCGCTAAGAGAAGACGTGGAGTTCGTTACCTAAATGGCGAGGCCGCCAAGCGCGGGTTGCTAGCGGACGATTAAACGAACCACCTGATGTGATAAGTACAGGTAGCCAGATCTGATATTGTACGACAACCACCTGGGAGGTGGGTGATGCATGGGGTGGCGAAGCGTCGAACTCGGACAAAGTCAGCGCGCTGGGGGTGCTGTCCTCAGGCCACCAGTCATTGCTCTAGCTCGTGCAAGGTTGGGTGGGGCAGGGGTGGCATGGGATGAGGTGGGTGCAACAGTTGAGCAGTTGTGCTGGAGTGTAGACGGAATGGATGGGTGCGGGGAATGGGAGGATTGCTGTGCATACGAGTTGGATGGACAGACTGATGATGGGGAAATGATGGCGGGAAAGGTTTGCTAGGGGGAGGGAGGGGAAGAAACCTGACGGGAAATAACAGCACTGGCCAGAAAAGCACTTCCCAAAGCAAGCCCCATTCTCCTATGTATAATATATAACCCTTTAAAGCCCTGTCTAAACCCTTCAATGATGTCAGCTTCAAAACGTGGTATTTACCTCTTAACTTGGGAATCTTTTTTAAAAAAGGTGACTACTGGTAAAACAGTTGTAGACATATGATTGCGGTAAGATAATAAATTTCCTTTTTGTTAAGGCTTGCGGATTTACTGAACGTGTGGAATGTCATACATTCCCGAATTATGAGAATATGATTGATTCAACATGCAGTATTGCACACTGCACACCATATGATGAGATACTTTGCGATTCAGCCAGCTTATGGAAGAGTATTTCAAAGCGTTCATAAAACGTTCAAACGTAGGGCATGCGGTATAGCGGGTTTTGCGCAGACGAACCAGAATTCAGACCAATAAGGGTTCGAGGGAATGAAGGCTGTCAAGCAACCCAGGCCCCATTGGTCGCCACACAAGATGCAGGCAAGGTTACAGAGAGCGTTCGCCTACCACGAGCAGGTAGCCAAATCAGGCAGGCTATTTCGCCAAAAGCTCTTCGCAGCACCTGACGATTGTACCTCCCCTCACAGCCCATTCTTCGGTTGCGCCTGACTTATCTTCTGAGGTTTTCCCCAGGAGGCCCTGAGAGCAGGAAAGCTCATCCAACCAAAACCTGATCCCAGGGGCCTTCCTTCAACGACTAGGTAGGGTTTGCTCTTATTGGCTGACCAACCGACACCCAACTCGCGATTCGCTGAGCCGCGTCTGAAATGTCAGCTTGACGTTCCCGCTCAGATATAGCGTTTGAAACGTTCACTCTGTCAATCTGGACTGTTCGCTTGTTTTGTTTCAAGAAGATCCGACGGCCCTAGCTCACTCCCTCCTTCGTCTCTCAACCAACGGCCTTCCCTCCCACCGACACCGTGTCGTCATTCCACCAATCTCCTAAATTTTGAGTCCTCGATGCGCGGCGCGGATCCAACCACCACCGACATTATGATTTTTTTTTGGGGTAGCAGTCGTTTGTCCCAGCTGAGATTGTTGTTGAGCCATTCCCCCTCCTCCCCCCAGTGTCGTCATTCTGTAGGCCTTGCCGGGGGGTTTTGAAGCATTCTCAGTTCCAAGAAATGTTTTTTAGCTAAAATTATTGAACCCATTCCAACAGTTTGACTAACCGTGTAGCACTCGTTCCTCGTCAAAATGTTAGCAACGATTAGCAGCAGCCGCGAAGCTCCACTCGCATTACGGTTTTGACCCCACCCCTCCCGTTCAGCCTCGAACCAATCTCTCCTCACATTTCGTTGCCACTTCCCAAACGCATTCTTATTTCAGCCAATTTCGCATTTCCCATCGCCCCAGCGGTTTATCGGCCACTCGCGTCAGTCTTTCCTCTCATTTTCGTCAGTCAAATTTCTCTGGACCTCGCCCCTGGTGCTACCACCGCGAGCTCGTGCGCTCACTTCGTTGGAGATGTGAAGCCTAGACGCGTAGAGTTCGCTACGACGCTCAATAGAAACGCATCTGTCTGGTTCTTCGTCCACATCAAGACTTCAATCCGCCATGGTCAAACGCTGCAAGCGGATATGCCATCAGCTGAAATTGTTAACTTTCCTACATGAGTTGCGCTGTAAGTACTGACGATTTATTTGTCATTGCCCGTTTCTTTTTCAATTTCTGAAATTGACATTTCGCATCTTATCTTGCAGGAATCATGCGAATTCTGCTAACTTCTGTGCAAGACGAGTCGAGGCGTGCTTTTAACGTCTGTGCAAGACGAGTTGCTGGCGCTGCTTGTGTGTAAGTAGTAGGTGACTTGTCAAGCGTTCTGAATCATTAGCTGGTCGCTCGCCGTTTGTTTTTCATGACGAAACATCTGACATTTGATGTCGTCATGTGCAGGGATTGCTATTTTCTATGCGCCAACGAAGTGCACTGATGAGGCGTTTTCCCACCTTCTGTGTGCAACTGCAACTGCAAGGCTGCTCTGAGGTGAAACACGGAGGTGTACACAAGGCTTCTGCTGTCGCAATTCAAGGTGAGAACCGCGACTTCAATTCTGGATCTCCTGCTCAAGTCGCTTCAACCTGTTTTAACGGTTCGAGTCCAGCCTCTTCTAGCCTCTGACTCAGTTCGTATCTTTTTACAGGTCTGCACGCGTTGAAGCCAAGGCGCTGACTACCAACGCGGCGAGCAGCTCAGCCACTCAGGCAGCCTGCGCATCCGTGGCTCCCTGCACACCCATGCCAGCGTGCATTGCGCGCAGCATGCATGCGGCACAAGCAAAATGGTGCCGCTGGTGGAATCACAGTCTGCGATTCACAGACCCCCCTTACTGCCGGTAAAGCCCCCCCCAGGTTAAGCCTTCAGGTACAGCCCTCACTGCAGGTATATCTTCCCTTGGTCTGTGGCTTGCAGCTGTGCCTCCACCGGTCGCCCTCCTTCCGCTCGTCTCCTCCATCTCGCCACGCATACAGCCATCCCCTTCCACACTCACTCCGCTCTCCCACTCACTTGCACCCCTCCTCTCTCCTCCCCACCCCATCCCTCCCCCCTCTCCCCTTGCAGGAGCTCCAGTGCTGCGCGCCTGAGGCACCGTGCCTGCTGCCCCTTCCATCTGCTCCATGCCCGCCCCTTCAACGCCAACTGCACTCATCGGCACTAAACCAAGTCAGTTAAGTGCTCCTCACTCCCAGGATCCAGCCCAGCAGTGTCGTTGTTTCTCGTTACAGTTCTCAGTTCCTTTTTCATGTACTTCCGCACCCTTCCCTTGAAACCAAAGCCACTGGTTGGGCCCTGCTCACAAGCCACAGACCCCCCTACTTCAGGTTACCCCCTTAGGTGCAGGTACCCCCCTTCAGGTGCAGGTACCCTCCCCAGGTTCAGCCTTCCTCAGGTGCAAATTTTTCTTGGGGTCTGTGGCATGTGGCCGTGGCTCCACCAGTGGCCCCTCCCTTCTTCCTCAAGCCTTGGCTGTTTCCTGTCCCTTGTGCTTGCTGCCATGCCATGCACACTGACCACTGCCGTGTGTGTGCATTGCAGGTGTTGGGGAGGGGCGTGGGGTCAACACCGCCATTCCCTCACGCCCCTCCCCTGTGGCCGTGCAGGGACGCGCGCGGGAGGGCTGGGAGGAGGGCTGCCGTGGGGAGGAGTCACCTGACGGGGCTTCAGCTGCCCTCCGCTCGCACTCACGCCATGAGCATCAGCTAAGTGGCCGTTCCTCCCTGCCCTCGCCCTTGCATGCCACACCTCATCTTGTATTTGCTGTCATTCCTTTTTTGCATTTGCTTTCATACCCTTCCTGTCAAAGGAATGCTACTGGCTGGGCCTGGCTCACATGCCACAGACCCCTCTACTCAGGTAGCCCCTTCAGGTGCAGGTACAACCCTCAGGTTCAGCCGCCCTCAGGTGCAAAATTTCCTTGGGGTCTGTAGCGTGTGGCCGTGGCTCCACCAGTGGCCCCTCTCTTCTTCCTCCAGCCTCGGCAGTTTCCCATCCCTGGCTTGTGCTTGCTGCCATGCCATGCACACTGACCACTGCCGTGTGTGTGCATTGCAGGTGCTGGGGAGGGGCGTGGGGTCAACACCGACATTCCCTCACGCCCCTCCCCTGTGGCCGTGCAGGGACGCACACGGGAGCGCTGGGAGGAGCACTGCCTGCCTTGTGCTGCAAGGGAGAGTATCTGGGGTGGGCTCGGCTGTTCAAGGTAAGCCGCTTTCCTTCTGCTGCAATGCCTGCTCGTTGACTATCTGGTTTTGTTTCTTGCTTGGTCTCCCTTCCCTGCACTCACTTCCCTCTTCTCCCTTCCTTCCTCCTCACCACCCGCCTACAACCCATCCCCTCCCTCCTGGCAGGTCACTTGGCAGCAGCAAGCCGAGTCTGCAGCAGAGCCAGTAGCTGAGAGCGGTGTGGCAGCAGCAGCAAGGCATGCTGTCGCAAGGGAGAGTATCTGGATTGGGCTCGGGTTCAAGGTAAGCCCCTATGCTCCCTGCTGAAATTCCTGCTCGTTCGCTTGCTGGTTTCTGTTTCAGTTGGCACTCCCTTCCCGGGCTCACTTCTCGCTTCCCCCCTCCGCCTCACCACCCCCCACACCCCCTCCCCCACCTCCTTGCAGATCACATGGCAGCAGCCAGCTGAGCCTGTAGCTGAGCCTGTAGGCAGAGGCTGTCTGTAGCTCAGCCTGTAGCTGAGTCTGCAGCAGAGGCTGTCTGCAGCTGAGCCTGTAGCTGAGTGCGGGGCGGCAGCAGCAGCAGCAGCAGTGCATGCCGCTGCAAGGGAGAGTATCTCGGTCGGGCTTGGCTGTTCAAAGTAAGCACCTGTCCTCCCTGCTTCAGCACCTGTTTGTTCACTTTCTGCTTCGCTTTTAGCTGGCTCTCCCTTCCCTGCACTCACTTCTCTCTTCTCCCTTCCTCCTCACCATCCCCTATACCCCCACCCCCCCCTCCTGGCAGGTCTCTTGGCAGCAGCCAGTCAAGTATGCAGCAGAGCTTGTAGCTGAGCTGCAGTGGTGCAGCAGCAGCGGCGGCAGCAGCGGTGCATTCTGCTGCAAGGGAGATTATCTGGGCTGAGCTTGGCTGTTAAAGGGTAAGCCCCTCTCTTTTCTGCTGCATATTCTGCTCTTTCGCTTTCTGCTTCTCTTTTAGTTCGTGCTCTCTCCCCTGCACTCACGTCTTTCTTCTCCCCTCCTCCTCACCACCCGCACCCCCCCCCCTCCCCTTGGCAGATCACTTGGCAGCAGTGAGCAGAAACAGGGCAGCAGAGCCTGAAGCTGAGCAGCAGTGATGCAGCAGCAGCAGAGAAGGGCAGCACGGCAACAGCAGCAGCGAGGGCAGTTAGAGGGCGGGCTAGGGCGTTAGGTGTGAGCGAGGTACAGGTAAGGTATGGTATAGGTACAGGTATGGTACGGTATGGTATGGTATGGTGTGGTGACATTCCCCCCCTCTTTCTCCTCCCTGCCTCCCTCAGCGGCTTTCCCTTGGTGCACTGGAGCAGGATGAGGAGAAGAGAGCTGCTCACATCCCTCTCTCTTTCTCCCCAGCAGCTTTTCACCACTTGGTGCACTGGAGCAGGATGGTGAGTGGAGGAGAGTCGCTCACCCCCCCACCCCCCTCCCTCCCCCCCAGCAGCGTCACATCCCTTGGCTGTGCGTGGTGGTGGTAAGTGAGGTAAGCTGAAGGCGTGGGGGAGGGGATGGAGGTGGGTGGGGCAGGGTGGGCGGTGGCATGTGGTGCAGACTTCTGGGGGCGGCACCTTCAGTACTATAAGCAAAGGGGGGTTGGGTGAGGCAGTGTAAGTACATGTGTCAAGCACTCTGTGTCCAATCGCAATACCCGCGCGTTAATGCATAATGGGCCCATGGCAGACCATTGCGGCCGAATGGTTCTGTCTCGTGCCAGCTCTTGCCACGCCGGTGAGGGGTAATTGGATCTTGGGCTTACCGTGTACTTGCCTCCTGCCTCACTTGGCGCCTCAGCGCAATGGGTACTGCCGGTGCTGCTCGTAATGGGTCTGTGCTGCATGCCTCTTCTGCTGCTGGCGGTTGAAGGGATGGTGGGTGAGGGTGGTGTGTGTGGTGCGGGTGCTGGTGTGGTGTGCTGGTGGTGAGAAGGGGTGGTGATGGTGGGGGGTTGGGTGGTGAGGAGTTTGGTGGTGTAGCAGAGTGGTGGTGCTGGTGGTGGAGGTGCTGGTGGTGGTGTTGGTGCTGGTGCTGGTGCTGGTGCTGGTGCTGGAGGGAAGTGGAGATGGGCGGTGAAGGTGGAGGGTTGTGGTGGTGGTGGGATGTGGCGGAGGGGTGGTGAGAACCCCCTGGGAAAGGTGAAACCCAGGCAGGGGAAGGGGGTTGAGAGTACCCTAGGTAAGGCGAGTGAGCGGCAGGGGGGGAGAGGGGGGTTGAAACCCCCAGGTAAAAGCGAGCTTGGGGCTGGGGAACCCCCCTCCTCTGCCTTATTCTCGCTTTAACCTGGGGGATGCAATCCCCCTCTCTTGCCTCTCAATCGCCTTGCTCTGGTGCCTTCAACTCGTTCCCCTGCCTGGGTCTCAGCTTACCCAGGGGGGTTTCACCCTCCCTCTGCCACATCACACCACCACCTCAACCCTGTGCCTTCATTGCCCATCACCACTCCCCACCAGCATCCCCACCATCTCCACTCCTCATTCACTTGGTGCCACAGCCCTGCCCCTCTGCCAGTCGCATTGTGTGGTGGTGGCTGTTGGGCTCATGCACACACACTGCCACTTGAGTTGGACTGCCATGGGGCAGTGTGGTGTGGTGGTGAGGACGGATGGTGATGGTGATGGTGGTGGCGGTGGTGGGGTGAAGTGGTGCAGGGCTGTGATGGTGGCAAGTCGTGGTGGTGGTGGTGGTGTTGTGGATGGTGGGAAGTGGTGATGGTCGGCGGTGGTGGGGAGTTGTGGTGCAACTTGCCAGATGTAAACTGAGACCCAGGCAGGGGAAGTTTTACTCAGGGGGTTTAACCCTCACTCTGCCACACCACCACCACAACACCACCACTACTTTCTACCGCCCCTCGCCACTTTTCAGTCGTGATGCTGACGTTGGTGCTTGTGGTGGTGGTATGCCGTGATGTGTCATCCCATTGTGTGGCATCCCATGGTGTGGCATCCCATTGTGTGGCATCCCATGGTGTGGCATCCCATGGTGTGGCATCCCATGGTGTGGCATCCCATGGTGTGGCATCCCATGGTGTGGCATCCCATGGTGTGGCATCCCATGGTGTGGCATCCCATGGTGTGGCATCCCATGGTGTGGCATCCCATGCTGACACATTCCATGGTGTGGTCATGTGGGTTGATGAGTAAGCCTAGAGCCCAGCCATATGGGTGGTGGTGGGTGAGTGTGGTGGCTTATGCTGGTAATGATGTGATCTTGCAGCTTGCAGCCGAGCCATGTGCCTCCTCATTTGGTGCTGATGGGATGAGCATGGGAGTGGTATGCCCCCCTGCCTACAGGAGCACCATATGCATAGGCATGCATGGATGCTTCTGATTTGGCCAATGAGCATCCAAGGCACGGACCAGGATGTGATGGCTCTGCAACAGGCAAAAGCATGCCGGTCGGTTAGATTGTAGGGTAGGGTAGTTAGTGTACGGTGAGTTTGTATGTTGATGCTAATCAACACACATGTATGCATGTCATTGGCAATAAAAATCATTTTGCTGGCAAAATCATCGATTAAGGTAAGTCATCAGAGAAAGCTTCTTCTGTCAGCGTGGGATGCTGCACAGCACACCATTTCAGTGCAATCTTCACTAAACATGACCAGTTCAACCAAGGTAAAATAACGCTGTACCCACAATTTACTTCAAAGCTTACACATATTCGACAAGGGTGGTCCGGCTTGTGTGTGGCTGGCAGAATGGCTGCCGAAATCCAAGCAAAATAACCAATCAAGAATTTGACATGGTGTTATTCATGCTAGTGTGCATTTGTCATCTGTTATTTTGAGTCTCCTCACCACACACCTAATACATGCTACCAGCTAGCAGCAAGGGTTGGTGCAGAGAGCGCAAGTGTTTTGGGGCGAGCATGGAAGGCAGTGTGCAGCACAGCTTGCGCCGATGGGGAGAGAGGAGCACCGAGATAGTGCGAGAAGATGGCCTGGGCTAGAGGGTTGTCGAAGGGATTGCATGTGTCCACCTGTGGTGGGGGAAAGATGGGTGAGAGGAGCGGGGGGGTTGAGAACAAGAGCACGAGGCACACACACATGCTCATGAGAAGCGATCAGCTACGAGCACAAGCGACGATTCAAAGGCATTGCAGTGAGTGAGAGGCAGTGAGACCTGAGCCATGTAGTGCGCCTCCAGGTCTTGCAGGTAGCTCCTGGTGGGCTGTGCCTTGCGCTGCTCCGGTGGCCTCTGCCCCCCCCCATTCAAACACCCTGCCGTGCCACAACGCACCAATGCACACAGCAATGCACAGTGAGAAGCACGGCTGCTGACAAGCACATGACATGACACCAAGGCATACACAATCGAAGAAATTTGAAAGCTTTATAGTCCCAATCAATCCCCATGCTAAGTCCCGCTTATTGAAAGTCACCTCTGCGCCCCCATGCCACCTCACCCCACTCACTCTATGCCCTCCCCTCCACTCTCACCTCCATGGTGCATCACGGTGCATGCAGCAGCCATAGGCACCTGTGCCCCTTTCCCCCTCCCCTGCACTCCATGTGCCCCAACCCTCCCCCCCTCACCTCCCGGGCACGCCATAACTTCCACGTAGTGGTATGGGCAGCGGCCCTGCTTGGCCTTGCGCAGCACGTTCTGGATGTTGCGGAAGCCGTACGCACACGCCACGCGCAGCACCGCCTGCCCCCCCACGTCCAGGGTGCTCTCCAGCATGTCCGCGTTGCGCACCTGCTGCCACGCCACCGGCCCCGGGGGCAGCTGCACTCCGAACAGCTCATTGGCTGCGAAGCGCAGGATGGTCTCCGCGTACCCGCCTGACCCGCCCGCCACGCCGTACAGGTACCCGCTGGCGTCCACGTTGGTCAGCCTGAGGGGCAGGGAGGGGGCAGTAGGGAAGGCGAGAAGGGTGCCATGGGGAGGTGGTGTGCAGGGTGTATGGGGACAATGGGGGGTGAGAGTCAGAGGGACGGGTGTTTTGGGCGAAGATACTGAATGTCATAACTGAAGGAATTTGGAAAAGAGTGGAAGGTAGACGAGGAGGGCACTGGGAGCAGGTGCAACGACATGGCATGGCATGCGACAGACTTCCCCCAGTGACACTCATGGCATGACGACATACATGGTGTCGAGAGGCCGCTCATCCAGTGCCATGAAATCCACTCCTTGCTCCTGAAGACAGTCAGGGGACAGGGGAGAGGAGGAGGCAGTACGGGAGGGTTTGAGGGCAGTGAAGGCGCGGCATAGGGGCAGCATGAGAGGAAGGCAAAAAAGATACAAAACCAGCACATGAACAAACATCTCCCAGGTCCTCGCATCGCATCACGCGCACCATCACATGCCCCCATCACAGCGCACCTGCAGCAGAGTGAATATCTCCCCTGATGTCAGCACACAGTCCACCTCCGTCACCTTCTCCCCACCCCCCTCTGCCTCCCTCTCGCCCTTCGTGCCGGCCCCAGCCACCCCCTCAAGGACGAAGTCGTCGCGCGCCGCCTCGAGCTTCTTGTCGTAGCAGGGCATCACCGCCACGTGGAACAGCTGCGATGCGCTGGGGAGGGGGTCATTGGGGAGGAGGGGGGAGAGGGCAGGGGAGAGAGCAGAAAAGATTCATCATACCGGGGAAACGGGGAGTGCTGATTGGAAATGGGAGATGGAAGGAGCGAGCGAGGCAAAAAGGAGCAAAGCGCTGAGCTGGGGGGGGGGGGGGGACAAAGGGGGGAGTGGGGGGGGAAGTGAGAAGAGTGGGTGAGATGGGATCTGGGACCTAGGCGTTGAGACCGAGGGGCTGAGAGCAAGGGGGTGAGACCAAGGGGTTGATGTGAGAATTGAGAAGAGTGATTTGACTAGCAAGGTTGGGAACTTAAATGAGAAATAGGATGGGGGGTTTTGGTTGGGAGTTGGCCAAGATCATTGGGCCCCCACCAAATAATTCTGGTTGAGATTATTGGGGGGTCCAATAATCCTGGACAGGAATATTGACATTCCAACAATCCTGGTGGGATCATTGGTGTTCCCAAATAATTGTGAACCAAATTGGGAACCCAACCCCCAATAAGTTTTATTACACCCCAAATGTAGTGGGGTGCTTAAGTCTCCTAAGAATAACCCATCTATGTAGGCTAATAAGCACTGTAGGACATTCTAACAAGCTGGCCCCACAGGTGATCGCACAGCTGGCCTCACAGCAGGCCCCCCAGCTGGCCGAGGGCGGGTGGGACCAAGGGGGGTGAGACCAACGGGGGGAAAGTCCAAGAGGGGGTGAGACCAAGGGGGGGTTGAGTGTATCGAAGAGGAAGCTGACTAAGGGGAAGAGAGTTTGAAAAGGGAGTGATAAATAAAGAGTGCGGCGGGGACTGGAAGGCAGGACGTATGAGGGAACCGCACATACGAGTGCAGCAGGAAAAGACGCCCCACTTTTCGCCATCCCACCCGCTATCTCACGTGGTGTTGAGTTTTGCGGCATAGAATCGCTTGAGCAGCGCCCCCATGGTCTGCTGTGCGCTCTTGACTCGGCTCATGTGTGGCAGGATGTAGTGCCCGTGCGCCTTCTCCGCATAGCACACCCACCCTGCCACCCCCACATGCATGCATGCATGCACGGATGAACATACAGGTGCACAGACTCAGGCGCATTAGTGTGCACGGCGATAGAGCAGCAGTGGAGGAGACGTGTGAGCAAGTCAGAAGCAAGGTTGAGCGATGGCACACAACTGGCCTCAATCCTCAACCCCCACCTTCCCGTCCCCTCAACCTCCCCCCCCCTACCACCTCCCCCCCTCCACACGAGTGTCCCGACCACTGCTTACGAGCATTCCCTTTCATTCGAGTGCTGTGAGTCGTACCAGGGCATGCAGAGGCGAGCACGGGCAGCTGCGGCAGCGAGTCAGAGGGGATGGGGGGAGGTGTGGCGGGGGGAGAGGCGGACACGCCCCGCCCTCTATCTTGCTCCGCTGCTGCTGCTGCTGCTGCTGATGATGATGCTGCTGCTGCTGGTGATGCTGCTGCTGCAGCTGTTTCCGAGGCTGCAAGCCCGCCAACTTGACTAGAGGACACACGTGGAGTGGCGGTATGGCCATTAAGAGCCACAGTGCCAGTGGGGCCGTTGCCATGGCCCGTGGCAGCGGCGTGGCAGCGAAAGGCGTGCACGAACTCGTGGCACGCCTCCATGAGCGCCACGTCGCGCGATGCACTCGTGTCAAACACCGCCGCCACGCCCAGCGAGTGCAGATACGATGTGAGCTTGCGGAAGGCCTGGGAAAACGGGAAAGGACAAGGGGTTGAAAGAAGGGTAAGAGAAGATGGTGATGGGAAACAATCCAAGGGAGGTGCGTGAGGGAAGAAAATACCGCTGAGACTTGGTCACTTGGTGATGCGTGTGCACAACGACGGGGGCGGGGGACAATGCCACCACAAGGTGGGTTACACTTGCGAGGCAATAGGGTCTATCTCCATAGCCCGTGCCCCTCCACCACCACTCTCACTGCGCCCTCGCCTTCATTCATCCCCCCCTCCCCCCTCTACCCCTGTGCGTGTGTGCGGCTGTGCGAGTCCGACCTGCAGCGGAGTGATCTTATAGTGGGCCGCCAGAGCAGCTCGCGACTGCGGTGACAGCGATACCACCACCACCTTGTCCCCCTGCCCTCCCTGCTCGCCCCCCTGGGCGCCTCTCTGTGGCAGGTGCTGCAGCATGTGGTGCGCGCTCTGCTGCTCCAACATCACAGTCTCTGCTGTCGTCACACACCCACTGGCAGGGAAAAAAGAGGTGTGAGACGCGGAGAGATGCTGTGTCGTGAACCACCGGGGGATGGACGGAGTGAGCAGCGCAAGGTTGGCAAAATGGGAAAAACTAACGCTACCGTGCTGCACGCATCACCATGCATACCACCGTGCATGATGGAAAGAACCACCGCATGACCACAGCATGCCCACAGCATGCCCACAGCATGCCCACAGCATGCCCACAGCATGCCCACAGCATGCCCACAGCATGACCACAGCATGCCCACAGCATGCCCACGAGCATTTCCGCCCCGCGCCATACCTGCACGCGAGGCAGTCATGCAGAGTCACCTTCACCGCCTCGCCCTCCCGTCCCCCCCTCGTCTGCTCGAATCCCCCCCCGCCTGTTCCCCGCAGCTGCACCTCCCCCGCTGCGCCCACACCCTGCTGCGCGTCCGCCCATGGGGGGATGGGAGACATGTGGAAGGCGGCCAGGAGGGGGAGGGGAGGGGAGGGGATCGGACTTGGAAGAGAGGAGGGGGGATGTAGTGGTGGTGTGAGGGGGAAATGGAAGGGAAGGACGGGAGGGTTGGTATGAAGGGGCGTATGGCGGGAGCAGCATGGCAGCAGGCACCCCATTCACACGCCATTCGCGTGAATCGACGGCATCAGCGCATGAGTAGTCTCTTTTATCCCCTCCCTTCGCCCCTCGGATCTCACCTCTCCCCCGCCCACGCGCTGCCCCTGCGCGGTGACGACGCACGCCTGCGACGGCGCGATGAAGTCGTTCAGGTCGGTCAGTCGCAGGGCCGCCGAGAAATTCGCCATCGCCGAAAATCACGAGACTTAGGAGGTATGCGCGCGGGGCTCGCGAGTCGGGTCTGATCGACGGCTGTTGCGTGCGACGTGTGCAGGTGCTGACTAGATTCTCGTGCGTCGAGTCGATCAGCGTGATTCGCGGTGCGAGATTCCGCGACGAGCGGAAACGACGTGGCGATCAAGAGGAACCCAGCTAGCGGCACGCTCGAATGCGATTCGGCAAGCGCGTCGGACGAGGAGAAAGTGGTACGAGTGAGTGGTTGGCTGGATGGCGGAGCGCATGAGGCGAGATGAGGGGAAGCGTGATGAGGAAGGCAAGAGGCTTTGTTCTGTGGTGACTAAAGAGCGGGCACTTGAGCATCATGGGTGATTTGATGCAGGGGAGGAAAGATGCGCGAGAGTGGGGGTTGAGTCGAGTGCGTGAATGCAGAAATACGCGATATGGAATCTCTACAGTACAAGCATGCGTTTGTAAATACACTGCTGATGCGCATGTCGGTGGCTGCAATTTGATTTCTAGTACAGTAACTCGTCTTGGGCTCTCGGACCTCACTCACGCCACTGGTGTGCTGCGCGGAACCATCCCGCCGCCCCCTCCTCGCATCCCATCCCATCGCCCCCGCCAGTCAAAGCACGCCTTGCATTGCACAGCCACAACCGCCACTGCCACCGCCGCTGACCACGCTGTCCGTGCTCCACTGCGCGCCGTAAGCCATTTTCGTCCAGCACTCGCTGACTCGAGCTCACCGCGTTTCGTTCTCGTAAGTCGCCCGTAAGACGCCCGAGAGGCATCGTGCTCGTCGCCAGTCCGCCAGCAAATCTCCGTCTGCTTCGCCGCTCTCTCTCGTCACCAAGCATTAGGCGCTCATCCACTCAGGCACCACTCTCCGCTCTCGGCGCGTTCAGCGCCGCCTGGGTTATCTCTTTTGACAGTCTCGCCACGGGCGCTATTCTTATTCTAGCACGGCAAGTGTAGCTTCGCAGAGGGAGCTTCCTTCCCCGGTGTCGCGGTCCCGTAGACTCGGCACCTTTTATATAGCTCAAAGGTAGATTCAGGATGAATCGCATATTCGGCGTGAAGAAGGATAAGAAGCCGGCACCGAGCCTCACTGAAGCGACAGAAAGAGTAAGCCCTGCAGCTTCGGTCCCCGCGTTATTCGCCTCGCCCCTCCTCTCGCCACGCCTTCGCTTGCGTTTGCCCTCCATCTCTCCCTGCCCGCCGTTCTTTCTTCCCCGCCTGATTCCTCAAGTCGTTCGTCTCCGCATGCGTGCGCCCCTCGGGTCGGTATACCACATCGCTGCTCATCCTCGCGCCCTCTCTTCCACACCTCCTCGCGCCCTTGATTTCGTTTCATGGCATGCCATGCCATGCCATGCCATGCCATTCCATTCCACACCATCCCACCTTGGACACGTGACGCGACGCGACGCCATGGCCCGTGTGCGTGCGTGGCAGATCAATGCGCGCGGCGAGTCGCTGGACGACAAGATCCGCAAGCTAGAGGCAGAGCTCGTGCGGTACCGCGACCAGATCAAGCGCACGCGCCCCGGACCCGCGCAGGAGGCGCTCAAGGCGCGCGCCATGCGCGTGCTCAAGCAGAAGAAGATGTGAGGGGGGCGTGGGCTTGGCAGGGTGTGGTTGGGTGTTGTCCTTGTTTTGGTACTGCAGGGTGGCGGTGTGACTTATAGTTGACTATTGGTGGGTCCCCCCCTCCTGGTGGCTTTCTCTGGTGACCATCCTGTCGTCCTTCTTTCTTGCCGGTCATGCATGATGCATGCTGCATGACACATGGCGGCAGGTTGGAGGGGCAGAGGGACAACCTGTACAACCAGAGTTTCAACATGGAGCAAGTGGCGTTCGCACAAGAAGGAATCAAGGACGCGCAGGCCACGGTGAGCAGTGCTTGCCACTGCCATTGCTGCACGCTCCTCCCCTGCCACAGGGAGCGGCGGAGCACTTGCGACTGCTTACGGGCTTGCTGTGCCCTGCCCCAACTCACGAGCCCCCCTTGCTCCCTACCCCCATGCTCCCCGTCCTCCACACTTCTCCCTCTCTCACTCCCTCCCCACTCTCTCTTCCTCTCTGGCCCGTGGGCCGTGGCGGCGCAGGTGGCGGCGATGAAGGCGGCGAACAAGGAGCTCAAGACGCAGATGAAGTCCGTCAAGATAGAGGACATCGATGTCAGTGCCCCGCACGCCATGCACGCATGCATGCATGCTGCTCCTCCCATTCCTCCATGCTCCCCTCTCCTTTCTTTGGCCTAGTCGGTTTCTCCTCCGATCCCCCGCACTCTTGTATCGTCCACTGCCCTTCCCTCACTGTCTTCTCTCTAGCTCCTCATAAGTGTGAAGAATTCCTCTTATGCCTTTGAGCCAGAATTTTCCTTTTTGGCACATCTCGGGCCTCACATGATCTCCACCCCTCATCTCCCCCCCCCCCTTTCCCCGTCCACGTCGCTGCGTTGTCTGCCACAGAGCATGCAGGACGACATGTTCGACCTGATGGACTACAGCAACGAGATCCAGGATGCGCTGGGGCAGTCGTACGGCGTGCCCGAGGACATCGACGAGGACGAGCTGCTCGGAGGTGGGGAGGATGTGGGGGGGAAAGGGGACGTGGAGGCTGTGAGGCGGTTCCAGGGAGGGGAGGATGCCAGTGCTCAAATGATATGCCCGACTATACGTGGCTCGACTTGTGCTTGCCTTATTGCCGCCACGCACACGGCTGATTTCTCATTCTTTCTCACCCACCCACCCCTCCCCCTTCTAATCCGCCACCCCATGTAATCTGCTCCTTCCAATCATGCCCTGGTATGGCGCTGGTGGCATCAGAGCTGGACGCGTTGGAGGCGGACATGGGCACGGAGACAGCAAGCGACTCCGTGCCGTCGTACCTGCTGCCCGACGCGGAGCCCGATGTGGCGGAGGCCGACGCCGACCTCTTCCTGCCCTCCGCTCCCACCGCCAACGCCGCCTCCGCTGCTCCGGTCAGTGCTGCAGCGGCCAGTGCACTGCAGTAGCGGCTCCACACACCACCCACATGCATGACTGTGACTCATCCCCCACCACTTACTTCCCTTTCTCCTCACTGGATCCCTTCGCCAGTGAGTTGCTTTTGTCGAGAGACCCGCTGGGGTTGCCCTTGAGATCCTCGGGGAAGGGCCACATGCCTCTATGCCTGGGGGGTTATGTGCGCACTTACCTGCTACTTAACAAGCCCTTTTAACTCAGTGGTTAGAGACTGAGCTCTGACAGCTTTTTGTTTCCACAGTCCGTGCTTATGCTTTATATCATGATGCCCCTTCGTGTTGCAGGTGGCGGAGTCGGCGCGCCCTCTGCGCACATGAGCGTGCTCTTCCCACGCACACATGCCCCTCCCGTTCGTTGCCAAGATGCTTACACTTGCCCACCCGCCAAAGAGCACAGATATGGAAGATTACACTGGTGGAATCCTTACAGCACCTGTGACGAGCACCCTTAACCCGCCAAGCGTTGTGGGAGTTGTGCTAGGTCGGTGTGACGAGAAGTTGACAACCACGCCTTGTGGTCCATAAAGAAAGACTCCAGCGCACACGCTATCCTCCTGCTTTGATTTGGTAGCTATTGAGAGCCCGCGAAGTTGGTAGATATCCGTTGAGAAGGACGGGACAAGATGCAGTGATTGGATGAGGTAGGTAGGTTAGTCTTATGAACAGATCTGGTAGTGTTTGTTCTACATACCCTGTAAGTAATTAAACAGTGAAGTGCAATTCGACGGTGTTGCAATAACGGAGATGCAGCTCGCCAATTCCAAAATGGCCTGCATGTTTCGCACCCTTGGGTTTCTGCCGCCCGCTCCTACACCTGCCTCTGCTTGAGCCTCACCTGCCGCTGCGTCACCTCACCCGACCAGCCGTTGCTGCCGCACCCCCTAGACTCGGCTCAGTGTCGTCTGATCTTGTTTTTTCCGACATCCTTCGTGCCGTCATTACAGAAAAACCCTTGCCCGCATGCCTCGTCGTGATCGTCGTCCGTCACATTAGTCAGAGCCCTCGCCCTCCTGCCGTCCTTTCTCGCCACCACCCGCCATGGTCATATCGTCGCCGACTCTCCCGCGACTTCACCCTTCACCGCGCGGCTGCCCGCTCCTCCCCCACCTCGGCTGCCTCGCTCCGCTCCTCCTGCTCGTCCTCCTCGCGTCGCCGTATCTCCCGCCGTCGCTCGCGCAGAGCCACTCGCCGCTGTCGGGGCAGGGGCTCGCGCCGCACCCCATGCTGCTGCCGCCGCCGGAGCGCCATGCGCAAGGGGACCGCCGCGCGCGACAGATGGGGGGCAGGGGGACGTGCGCGAGCGCGGAGGGAGGGGAGGAATTGGCGCGGGTGGCGTACACCCCGGTGTTCGTGTCGGTGGTGCTGAACAAGCTGCTCGCGGTGCGACCACCATTACACCGCACTTCATCGCATCCCGCCGCAATGCACGGCTTGTGTCCCCCTGTGTGCTTGACGCCGCTCCCATGCAGCGTTGTCATCATCTCTAAGACGATGCACCCCCCCGCTCCCCCCTCCTCTTCCCCCTCCCCCTTCCCCCCCGCTCCCCTCTCCTCTTCCCCCCCCCCCCCCCCTTTTCCCCCCTAGGTGGACGACGAGCGGTACCAGTTCGAGGTGATCGTGCAACTGCGCATGTCGTGGCACGACCCGCGCGCGCCTCTCGCCATCCGCCGCCGCACGGAGGAGACGTTCCTGGCGGGGCAGCCGGGCGCGTGCGCGCGTGTGTGCGCCAAGGGGCGGTCGCTGTGCTGCGACGCGGTGTGGCTGCCGGGCGTGATGGGCGGCAACCTGCTGTCGCTGGAGGACGAGCGCACGGAGTGGGAGGCCATCGCGCTGCTCCCGGGCAACCACAGCAACGTGCGCTGGGGCCGCCGCCTCAGAGCCACGTTCCACGCCGCGCTCAGATTCCACCGATACCCCTTCGACACGTGAGTCGGGGAGGCGGGCTGGGAGGCGGGTGGAAACGCATAAGCTCGACTGCGGTGGCTGCTGCCCGAGTTGATTCATAAGCCACCTCGCTCTCTCCATTTCTGAGCTGCTTCTTGGTGGATCCTCCCCTTTGCCCCTTGGCCGTCACCCCATTTGTTCCCCCCTGACCCGTTGCCCCGTGGCCGTGTACCCGTGGCTTGCTGGCTGCAGGCAGCAGCTGGTGATGGAGCTTTGGGCCGAGAGCTGCTGCTACTCCTTCGTGCCCAGCGCTGCCGCCATCAGACTGCCGCGCACGGCTCTCACTGCTGCACTCCAGCCGCCGCACCCGGGTGGCAACCCCCCTCCTCCAACCAGCAGCAGCAGCAGCAGCAGTAGGACCAGAGACAGCAAGAAGCTGTGGCGCGAGCAGAGCGGGGAATATGGGCGGGGCAAGACTCATGGGAGGCGGGGGCGGGTGAGGCGGGAGGAGGGGAGCGGGGCGGACGACCTGTCGGGGTGGCAGGTGGAGAGTGTGTTTGTGGCGGCGCGGGCGATGCAGCCAGGGCGCATGGTGCAGTGGGTGGAGGAGCCGCACGCGGACGAGGTTTTCAGCGTGCTCGTGGAAGAGTTCTCAGGCGCCACCGCAGGGGGCGCAGGCACTGCTGCCATGCCGTGTGGGGGGAAGGGGGAGGAAGACGGGAGGGACGGTTTGGGGTCAGGGATGGAGCAGGAGGAAGGGGGCGAGTGTGGGAGCGGCAGAGTGGAGAGCAGCGAGTGGATGGCGTGGCAGAAGCAGCAGCAGCGGCACGCAGCAGCATCTGTGAACGCGACGCTGCTGATTGTGGTCCGCGTGCAGCGCATCTGGCACTACTACCTCTTCCTCTTCCTGCTGCCCACCTTCCTCGCTGTGGCGCTCTCCTGGACGTCCTTCTGCGTGTCGCCGGAGCACCTGGAGCTGCGTGTGGGCACGGGCATCACGCTGTTCCTCGCGCTCACGTCGCACCAGTTCATCATCTTCGACAACCTGCCGCACTCCAGCTACGTCACCATCATGGGCTGGTTCGTCATCTGGTCGTACGCGCTCATAGTGGCCGCCGTGCTGCAGTCGCTGCTCGTCAACTACGTCTACAGCATTGGAGAGACTGCCGCCCGCGAACGCAATGAATCCGCGGCAGCGAGGGCCACGAGGCGCCTGCTCATGGGGTCGGCAGGCGTGGCGGGGAAAGGGGGGGCGGCAGGGAGTGGGGGTGCGGGTGCGGGCGGGAGTCACAGTATTGCGTGCCTCTCCTCCGGTAGTCGCTGGCAGAGTCTTTCTCCCCAGGCGCTCTCCCTGCTCTGGCGCCCCTCCGCCTCCGTTGTCGCTGCTGCCGCTGAGCCGCTGCTGGCAGAGGAGGTGCGGTCGAGGGAAGGTGGGGGGAGGCAGGGGGAAGGTGCTGCGGTGAAGCGGAAGAAAGGCAGTGACGAAGGGGGAGAGGGGGGGCGGGAAGGGGTGAACGAGGGGAGGGAAGGGAGTGGGTGTGTGGTTGCAGCAGAGGGGAGTGTGGCAAGCGGTGCAGGCGGGAGTGCTAGCAAGCCAGCGCGGTATCCTGCCAGTGGTAAAGGGCGGGCGGGTGAGGGTGTGAGAGACAAGCCAAGCGCACCGGTGATGCGGCAGTGTACGAGGCAGAGTGAGCAGGACAGTGAGGGGAAATCCTTGTCTCGGCAGCCAATCGAGCAGGAGGGAGAGGCGGAGACGGGAGCGGAGAAGCGCAATGGAGGGTCAGGATCATTTCCTGAGAGTGAGTCGTTTGTGGGTTTGTCCCATCTGTCGAAGCGCATTCAGCGCACGGTGGCCCAGGCGAGCCAGCTGAAGGGCATGGTGGAGCAGGACCCCCACCGTGCCAAGACATTCATCACCCGCCTCGATGGCCTCTGCCTTGTGCTCATGCCCCTGCTCTATGTGGGCGGGCTGTTATGGATCTACATGGTTGTGGAGTGACAAGGGTGCTTAGGAGGGGGAAGGGAGGCTTGGGACAGGAGGCGGTGCTTGCGGTAGTACGATGAACATTTGTGCATTGTTGTATGCCTTAAATCTATATGTAAATATGCTCATACCGTAATCCCCCGTATAAAGCACCCTATGGTGTTAATAAGAATGCAGCAAATTTTTGGGCTGGGTGTAATTAAAGGCAAAAAAAATAAAACACCCAGGAGTTATGGAATGTGCATATGGTTTTTATAATTGGTTTAAGTGTGCTTGTTTCACCACATTCATTTGAGTCAGATACCCACTTTTGGTCATCTCATTGCATACTCGACGATATTCCCGATCTGCATGCCACATTGGCAGTGAGCATGTAGTGTCAGGGAGGATGCTGTCAGAACAACCAATGAGCACACGTTTAATTTGGCGGGACGCGCGAAAGTCGAGTACAGTCTCAAACTTTCGGATTTGTTTTCGTCGAATTTTTTTTTTCGTTCGGGCAGATTCGTCTCCTACCTAAGAGTGTATCCTCTTCCCAGGGAACCTTCCCAGGCTCGCGAGCTACAGTGTCGCGAATTCTGACGCGAAATGTTTTAGTGCTGTTCCATAAGGTGCAACGTCAGGTTCAGCCTGCCGAGATTCATGGGCATGTTTCAAAACCTTTGTTCAGGCGACATTGTTTCTGACACGCGGGAATCTGTACAGTAAATTTTCGGCGCGAGCAGTTTTTTTTTGCGATTGAGCCGCGGAACGACGCAACACGAAATTCTGGCGTTTCCTGCTAGAAATGGAGATTCTAGTGGCAGGGGGGTGTTCAACTGTTTTCACGTCCGAGAGTAGGGTGTTGTGTATATCCAGAAAAGTTAAACACCCATACCCGCTCAAGCTACCCGTGGGAGCTTAATTCCGGCGGGTGTTTTATACGGGGGATTACGGTAACTTTGTTGATGCCGATAGTATAAGAACTGTAAGGTGTATCTAATTATGAGATTGTACGCGTAATAGTAAATGACTTGTTGACTAGGCTGCCATGATGTGCAAAAGGCGGCAATCTAGTGGGAATACCATTTCCTTACACCCAAGTACAATTCATGCTTTACAGATGTGTTGGAGAAAAATGGCTGCGTTCTACAGGCACGAAAGGAAAGTGCAGATTATATCAGAGCACCTTCCGAAAGCGAGTTTTTTTGCTTCGGATCGAGGGTCAGCCCGCAAAATTTCGCCCAAACCTGGCACAAGGTATCAGAAAGAAAATGATTGAACTAGATGTCAAACATTAGTATATCTAGTGTTTGTATAGACCATATAGGGTCACATTTTAGATAGTACAACCCTTAGATATGTATGCTTGTACCCACGTTCTCTACTCATTCATTACTCAGTTCTAAGATGGTATCAGCGGTAGGTAGGTCCCGCCGCCCGCCCACGCTTCCGCCCTAGGCACTAACCGCCCCCGCGCCCGTCCTAGCCGCACCCGCGCGCCCGTCCTAGCCGCGCCCGCCGCGCCCGTCCTAGCTGGCCCCCGTGCCTGTCCTCACGGCCCTCGCGCCCGTCCTAGCTGGCCCCGCGTCCGTCCTAGCTGCGCCTGCCGCGCCCTCCTAGCTGGCCCCCGCGCCTGTCCTCACGGCCCTCGCGCCCGTCCTAGCTGGCCCCGCGCCCGTCCTAACGGCCCCCGCGCCCGTCCTAATGGCCCCCGTGCCCATCCTAAAGCCCCCCGCGCCCGTCCTAGCTGGCCCCGCGCCCGCCCTAGCTGGCCCCGCGCCCGTCCTAGCTGGCCCCGCGCCCGTCCTCACGGCTCCCGCGCCCGTTCTAGTCGGCCCCGCGCCCGTCCTAGTGGCCCCCGCGTCCGTCCTACCGGCCCCCGCGCCCGTCCTAGTGGCCCCCGCGCCCGTCCTACCGGCCCCCGCGCCCGTCCTTACCGGCCCCGCGCTTGTCCTAGCAGCCCCCGCGCCCGTCCCACCAGCCCCCGCGCCCGTCCTAGCCGGCCCCACGCCCGTCCTAGCGGCCCCTGCGCCCGTCCTAGCCAGCCCCCGCGCTCGTCCTAGCTGGCCCCCGCGCCCGTCCTACAGGCCCCCGCGCCCGACCTAGCTGGCCCCGTGCCCGTCCTACAGGCCCCCGCGCTCGTCCTAGCTGGCCCCCGCGCCCGTCCTAGCCGACCCCGCGCCCGTCCCAGGCCCCTCCTAGCCGGCCCTGCGCCCGTCCCAGGCCCGTCCTAGCCGGCCCCCCGCCGTCCTACCTGGCCCCTACGCCTGTCCTCGCCGGCCCGGCGCCCGCCGCTACTGGCCCCCGCGCCCGTTCTGCCGGCCCCTGCGCGCGCCCTGCCCGTCGATCTCCGGCCCCATGCTCACCTTCCCGCCGGACTGCCGCCGATCTGCGTGTGGCCCGCTCTTCGTGCCTGCTACTGCACTGCACCCTCCCTGGTACGGTTCTCCATCACCTTGCACTGCACTGCACCGTGCTGCACCGCACGGCACCGCACTGTACCGCACTGTAAAGCGCTGCACCGCACTATACCGCCTTGCACTGCACTGTACTGCCCTGCACTGTTCCTGATGGCGGCGGAGCTTCGCTTCGACGCTGAAGGCCAGCCTCTAGAGTTCGAGGCCTGGCTAGCTGACCTCCGCCGCCACCTCACTGGTCAGCGGCAGGATGGCCACCCGCTCTCGGCACATCTTGACGGTACGCTTCCCTGCCCAGACCCCCTTGCTGTGCTGCCCGCTGACCCCACACCTGCTGAGTGCGAGTCTACTGCGGCCGCTGCCCTCGTTCGCTTTGTCTGGCTTTCCCGTGACGCTGTCGCCCTCGTTAGCAATGCCCTCCCCCCGTCTGAGCGTCCTCGCTCTAAGTCGATCACTACCTCCCAGTCTTTCTTAGATGCTGTTATCCGGCGCTATTCCGCCCCGCCTGCTGCCTCGGTGGGTCGCTTGATCCTACCGATGCTCTTTCCTGACCTTGCGTTTTTCCCTACTGTCGCTGACCTGGCTGCCCACCTGCGCACGATAGATGAAACCTGGCGCACTGCCTGCACTGACGCACAGCTTAGAGCCCACCAGCCACCCCTTACCTCTACCCTCTACCTGCTTGCCACCCGCCTCCCTGACCGCCTTGCCGCTGCTCGTGACCGCTTCCTTAGCATTCACCCCGGTGACCTCACCCTCACAGACTTTGTAGACACCCTGACTATTATCGAGACCCGCCACCGCTCTATCGCCCAGGCGAGCGGTTCTGTGCCGGTCCCTATCTTTCAGGGTTGTGCCCCCGCTCAGTGTACCTTCTCCGATGGTTCTGCAGCTGTGGCTGAGACCGCCGCTGCAGTGCAGTTCCGTCCGGGGAAGGGTCGCTGCCCCAAGTCTGTGCGCGGCGGAGGGGGTGGGGGTGCAGGTGGAGGTGGTGGTGGACTCGGGTCGCCTGGTGGTGGAGCGGACAAGGGGACCCTGCCGGGTTCGGCTGAGCAGCCGCCCCAGGAGCCGCAGCAGCAGCAGCAGCCGCAGCCCCCGCACCAGCCACAGCAGCCGCAGCAGACGAGGCCGGCGAGTGGCCTCCCGCTCGGGTGGCCTGTCGCTGGTGGTGGCCGTGCGCGTGGTGGTGTACCGGGTGGCGGTTCAGGAGGCATGCGCTGTCAGTACCAGCTCCAGACCGGTCCTCGCCGCGGCTTCGTTTGCGGTAAGATCGGTCACACCACTGCCCGCTGTTTTCGTCGCCTGGACGACCTGTTTCGTCAGCGCTTCGGCCCGTCGCCAGACCTCCCGGACTGGCACAGTTTGCTTAGTCGTAGAGTTCGGATTTTTGACATGGACATGGATGCCATTGTTGCTGCCCTGCATGTGATGTATGCTGATGACTCTAGTGTGCTACCCTCTTATTACTCCTTGTCACCTAGTGTAGGTGTGCCTAGCTTAGCCTCCCCTACTGCGTCATGCGTAGGAGCTCTTGCGTTGTTTAGCCTTGGTGCTTCCGTCGTTGCCCCGTCGCCAGACGCCACTGCTGCGCTTTCCTTCACCTTGGACTCTGGCGCTTCCCGGTGTTTCTTCCGCGACTCCACCATGCTGACGCCGCTACCTGTTCCTGCTGCAGTTTCTCTTGCTGACCCCTCCGGCGGTCCAGTGGTCGCCCGCAGTTCCACCACACTTCCCTGTCCGGCAGTTCCTTCGGGCTCTCTTACAGGTCTGCATATCCCCTCGTTCTCCAGGAACCTAGTTGGTGTCGGCTGCCTCCAGGACCTTGGCGTCACCACTACGTTCCCTGGTCACGAGCGGTATGCTGTCTGTACCGAGGCCGCCACTGGTGCCCCCCTGTCCATGTTCCCCCGAGACCTGGTGTCTGGCCTGTTCACCCTGGACACCGTGACCCCCCCGGCTGGGGCGCCCCTTCAGGTGGCCGCGTCTACTCAGGTTGCTGCTGCCTGCTCCTGTTGGTCCCTCACTCAGTCGACTCTCCTTTGGCACCACCGCCTAGGTCACCCTGCGCTCCCGCGTCTGCGTCACATGTCCCAGCACGGTCTCGTCCTTGGTCTCCCTGGCTCGTTCCCCGCTTTTCCCTCCTCCCCCGCCCCTCCTTGCACGCCTTGTGTCGAGGGTCAGCTTCGCCGTGCCCCTCACTCCTCCTCGTTTCCCCCTACCGTCGCGCCGCTGCAGACCCTGCACATGGACGTCTGGGGCCCCGCCCCCATCCATGGGCCGCGTCTAGAGTGCTACATCCTAGTGCTTGTCGACGACTTACAACGCTACACCACAGTCTTTCCCCTGGAACGGAAGGCCGACGTGCCTGACGCTCTCATCCCCTGGCTTGTCTCTGCGCGTGTCCACCGAGGTCTCCCTGTCTTGCGCCTTCACTCAGACCGTGGTGGCGGGTTTGCCTCAGGTGTCCTTGGTCGATTCTGTCGTGCGGAGGGCATCACCCAGACGTTCACCTGCCGGAATCCCCGCAGTAGAATGGGGTCGCTGAGCGACGCATCGGTTTGGTCATGGAGGTGGCTCGCACCTCCATGATCCATGCCGGTGCACCCCATTTTCTGTGGCCGTTCGCCGTGCGCTACGCTGCTCACCAGCTTAACCTGTGGCCGCACCCCCAGCGGCCGTAGGTTTCGCCGACCCTTCTTTGGACCGGGTCTCCTGGTGACGCGTCTGCATTCCACGTCTGGGGCTGCCTTGCTCATTTTCGTGCCTCTGGCACGGACAAGCTCATTGCCCGCACCCTTCCCTGTGTCTTCCTCGGTTTCCCCCTTGACGCGTCCGACTGGCACTTCTACCGCCCGCCGTCTCACCGGTTCTTTCACTCTCGCGACGTCACCTTTGACGAGTCCGTCTCCTTCTACCGTCGCTTCCCCCACCACGGTACCCCGGTTTCTCCCCCCCTGTTCCTGGTCACTCCTTCCCTGGTGGTCCCCCCCTCCCCCCTCCCCCTCCCCGTCCTGCACCCTCTGGTGTGTCACACATCACCCCTCTTCCGTCAGTTGTCCTGGTCGAGGAGTCTTCTGACTCTGGTGGTCCTGCGGCCGATCCTCGTTGTCTGCCCCTCCCCCGTTGTCTCCTCTCCCACAGCCCCTGCAGCCACCGTCGCCCCTGCTGTCGTTGCCGTCGTCTCCGCTGCCGTCGCCGCCGCACCCGTCGTTCCCGCCACCGCTGCCGCCGCCGTCGCAGCAGCAGTTCGTGGACTCTGGGGGTGCCCGCGTTGGGGTGGGTGCTCGTTCTGGGGCTCCTGGTGTGGCCTGCCCCGGTGGCCCTTTGGGCGGTACTGGTGCTCGGGGGGTTTTGGGCTCTGGGGGTATTCCTTCTGGGGGTGCCGTAGTGGAGTGTCCCAGAGGTAGCCGCGGAGCAGCTTGCGGTCCCGGTGTTGGTGTTGTGCCACCGGAGCAGCAGTCCCCGCCGGTGTCTGCCCTTCGCCTGCTCGGCCTTTCGTCCCCTGACCCTGCGTCCGTTCCTCTCATGCCGTCTCCTCCTCTTCCTGTCTACGGCCCTGTGTTCCCTCCGCCGGACTCGTCCCTGGCTCGTCTTCCCCCTCGCTCCCCCCTTGTGTCCCCTCCTCTGTCTCCTGACCCGACACCTCCGTTTCACGTCTGGTCCCGCCGTCCCTCTCGCGCTAGTCGTGTCTCCCATGTCCCGCGCTCTCACCCTATGTTGCTCCGTTCCCACGCGTCTTGTCCTCCCCTTCTACCGTCGCCTCCTCCGTCCTCTCTTACCGTTGCGCCTCCTCCTCTGTCTGACTACCTTCGTGCCGCTCATCCTCTTGTTCCTCGGGTCCTCGCCTCTCTCGTTACCGACCCGTCTGTTCCGGTCTCGTGTCTTGACGCTCTTGTCGCTGCGGTCGCTGACTTCGCCTCTACCCGCCGCCTTGACTACGCCACCGCTCTGATCTCTGACCCTGCCTGTCCTCCGTCTGTCGGGGGTGCTCCTGCCCTCGGCAGTGACGTCTTGGAGGACCGCCAGTTCGAGCTTGCTTTCCTCTCCGAGGTTGCTCCCCATCTCTGTTCCATGCTGCTAGTCCCTGAGGATGACCCAGACACTTTTGACATCCCAACCCCTCGCACTTACGCTGAGGCCACCTCGGGACTCTGGGCCTCACAGTGGATAGCTGGCATGGAGCAAGAGATGGCATCTTGGAGATCCACCGGCACCTTTGTCGACGCAGTTCCCCCGCCTGGGGTGAACGTAGTCGATGGCCGCTGGCTCTTCAAGGTGAAGCGCCCTTTTGGAGAGCCGCCTGTGTTCAAGGCGCGCTACGTGGCTAGAGGTTTCAGTCAGTGTGAGGGGGTGGACTTCTTCCATACCTTCGCTTTGTGTGTCAGGAGCCTCGACTTGAGGGCAGAGCGAAGCATATCCAGCTGCGGTACTCCCTCCTGTGCGAGCTACAGCAGCGCCGCCAGGCTCGCGTAGTACACTTGGCCTCCGGTGCCAACACAGCTGATATCTTTACGAAGGCGCTTGCGCCTAAAGATCATCAGCGGCTCTGTGTACAGCTTGGTCTAGTCCTCGTAGCCTCTCACTTGCTAGGGCCTTGTCCTTTATATATATATTTACTCAGACTGGACTTGTGTCCTCTCCCAGTGGCTGGACTAGTAGTGCCGCCCTGATCTTGTTTTTGTCTTGCTTGTACTTCTGTTGACTGGTCTTTAGACCCTTGTCTCAGTGGCTGGACTAGTAGTGCCGCCCTGAGCTGCTTGTTCAGGAACTGCCCCTATGCAGTCTAGGGGGTGTGTGAAACATTAGTATATCTAGTGTTTGTATAGACTATTTAGGGTCACCTCTTAGAGAGTACAACCCTTAGATATATATGCTTGTACCCACGTTCCCTACTAATTCATTACTCAGTTCTAAGACTAGAATGTGTGTGTACAAGGATATATAGACTATGGTATTATACCCTCTAAGGCACAATCTAGTATAGTCTACAATAACAACGTAAGTTACATTTGATACAAGGTACTCGAACCTAGTTACATCAACATGCCTGCAGGACAGGTCCCGTACAGATGACATCTACGTCAGGGAAACACCCCCCCCGCTTCCCTCCCTGGCAAATCTGACACAAACTTGGCGCAATGCTGACGTTCGATCAATCGCGGAGTTCACCTTGCGTGTGGCGTTACATCAGCCGCAATGGTGTACTAGGCCTCCACACCCCCAAAAAACCAATGCCATCACTTTACCCCACCTCTCGAACTTGGGCCTGCCCTGCAAAACAACCGCAGCTAAAAAAGCGCATCGCCAAAGAGAGTCGTATGACTTGGGCCTTAGGTTATTTTTCTTAGAAACTTAGGACACTAGCCTAGCTAGGAAGCTAGGATGCAAGGAATGGCGCCATGGAATGGCGTGAAGAAAGTAGGTCTAGGAGCGCGGGAGAGAATGTCGAGAAAGAAGAGATGACGATTAGGAAGAGAGAGGAGTACAAGGAGGGGATTGTACCCTCTACAGAAAGGTTCAGTAACACTTATCAAGCCTATCAATTATATATAACTTATATAATCTTGACAATTTTATAGTTATTTTGCTCCGGAATATTTCTCTGCTGCCCTGGGACAACAGGTTTTTGTTGCGTAATTTTGAAATTCGCCGCTCTCTCATTTCGCTTGCGCTTTCCACAATTTGGCCGCGTGACTTCCAAGCGAGGTTTGGAAAGTGTACCTGGTTTGAGTGGTAACCAGTGCTTTCGAAGTCGCTTGCGGAGCTTCCTCAATGTCGACGTCGACGTCAACGTCAAATGCTTGTAGAACGCAGCCAATGTTTTATCACCCTGGCTGCGTTCTGCAGGCAAAAAAGGAAAGTGCAGATTACATCAGAGCACCTTCCGAAAGCGAGATTTTCTGCTTCGGATCGAGGGTCAGCCCGCAATTTTTCATCCAAACCTGGCACAACGTACTCGAACCTAGTTACGTCGACATGCCTACAGTACAGGTCCATCTGCGGATGACATCTACCTACGTCAGGGAAACACCCCCGTCGCTTCCCTCCCTGGCAAATTTGACGCAAACTTGACGCAATGCTGACGTTCGCTTAATCGCCAAGTCCACCTTGCGTGTGGCGTTACATCAACCGCAAGGGTGTACTAGGTCTCCACACCCCAAAAATACAACCGCCACCACTTTACCCCCCCTCGCGAGCTTGGGCCTGCCCTGCAAAAAAACAGCAGCTGAACAAACCCATCGCCAACGAGTCATATCTCAGCTTAACATTTTTTCGTCATTTTGCCCCGGATTATTTCTCTCCTACCCTGGGGCAGAAGTTTTTTTTGCGCAATTTTGAAATTATCTCCTCTCTCCTTACGCTTGCGCTTTCCACAATTTGGTCGCGTGGCTTCCAAGCGAGGTTGGGAAAGTGCACCTGGTTTGGGTGGTAACCAGTGCTCTTGAAGTCGCTTGAGGAGCTTCCTCAATGTAGACGTAGATGTCAACGTCAAATGCCTGTAGAACACAGCCCCTGTAATGAATGGCATGCTGATGTCACTTGTGATGAAGCGTCTCCGGGCTTTCGTGCTGTCGCTTGCCTGTCGCGCACCTTCCAAGCCTCTCATTCATTCCGGGATGTTTCGCCAACACCCCATCGACCTTTCGCCCTGGTCGCCCATCAAAATCCTGACACCGTCTGGAATATTCTGGTACACTGCCGTGCCCCTGCGACTCCACGTAGTCAGGTGTGGTGTGGAGTGGCGCCCAGACAGAGAGCCAGTTTGCGGAGCGAACGCGTGTATTTCATGGAAGAGGAACCGCGCAATCTTCAAACCCGCCATCAAACCTCCAGCTTTTTCTGAGCCAGCTGCCAGTTGTTAGGACTCTGTGGTCGTTTATTGGGTGACATCAGCCGCCATCCCATCCTGGTCGTCCGTCGAAGCCGAGCTGTCTCATCTGGGTGATCTCCGAGCCCCTCCGTCCTCACCTCTCGCGCCCAAACCAAACCCTAGCCCTTTCGTGCGTGCACGTGGCCCTTCCCTCCCCTCTTCCCGCTTCTTTGCCCTCCCCCTCCCTCCCTCCCTACCTTCCCCTTGATCCTGCTTTTAGACGTCACCCTCCGAATAATCTGATCCTCTTCCACACAACCCAGCATTCCAGCTCCACTGGGTTTGGGTTTGAGCAGCGCGGTGCATTCCTACAACAGCTCGAAGGCGACAGGACCAGCTTCGATTTGGAGTCTGATCCTCTGCCCCGTTTCCTCTTTTGGCTGTATCAATTGCCGCTTGTACTCGGTTTTCCGGCGATTGAGCAGAGGTTGTAAATTGGTTTGATAACGATCCCCCCGCTGCCTCCATTCACCTCCGTCAGCGGTACCATGGCTTCGTTGAGCTCGATTTATGCGTGCTCGATCAGCCAGGCAGCATCGTTCAATCACTCGCTTAGCTCGCCAAGACAGACGACATCACTCACCGCCGCCGCGCCGTTGGTTCCTCGCGCCACCAGCAGCCACGGCTCATCGTCCCAGCCGTCTCGCTCTTCGCCCCCGAGCATGCCGTTCGTTCCTAATTCGAATTCGTCGCGTTCTCCTCTGGCGCCGTCGCTTAAGGCCACCGTGGCGGATTGCCCGCCGACCGACACCAAGACGTCGAGCATCACCCGCAGAGGAGACAGGGCGAGTGGTATTTCCGCGAAGGAGTCGACTCTTTCCTCAGTTGATCTTCAGACCGATCCTCTGCCGGTCGTGTCGCTGGCGGCAGCGGCGCCGGTTATGAAGTACTCTCGCGATGGCAAGCTGGTGATCGGCGTGGGAACCATGTCGGAGGCTGCGTGGGCCGCCGCATTCGGCATTAACACCGGTCATCTCATCCCCGTGACCAGCCCTCGATCCGCGCAGCTGCTGCTTCCGCCGCCTTCATCTCCCGATTCTCGCTCCTCGCTGCCGCCCGCTGTGTCGAGCTCGCAGGGCTCCGCTCCACGGGTTGCCACGTTTGGAGGACAAGCGGAGCGGAGTGCGTCGGTGGCCGCGCCTCAAGAGGAGAGCTTTGACAGGGACGGTGCTGCTGCGGTGATGGAGGAGGATGTGTGGCTGCAGATTCGTGCTGAGGCACGCGCGGCCGCGGAGGAGGAGCCTGCGCTAGCGAGCTACCTGTACTCCACCGTTCTCACCCACAGGTCGCTGGAACCCGCCCTCGCTGCGCACATAGCCAACAAGCTGTCGTCGCCCACCTTGCTGGCGTCGCACCTGTTCGAGCTCTTCAAGGAGACCTTTCTCGAGGACCCCAGCATTCAAGCCGCTATCCGGGCCGATCTCATGGCCGTGCGACAGAAGGATCCGGCGTGCGACGGCTTTCTCCTTTGCTTCTTGAATTACAAGGGCTTCGCCGCTCTGCAATCGTACCGCGCGGCGCACAAATTGTGGCGGCAGGGACGATACAGCCTGGCGATGGCGCTGCAGAACCGCATGTCAGAGGTGTTCCAGGTGGACATCCACCCCGCCGCGCAGATAGGCAAAGGGGTGATGCTGGACCACGCAACGGGAGTGGTGATCGGCGAGACCGCCGTTGTCGGTGACGAGGTCTCCATGCTGCACAATGTCACGCTCGGTGGTACTGGTGCCATTGCGGGCATCCGCCATCCACGCGTGGGTAGGGGCGCAGTTATTGGTGCAGGGGCTCGGATTCTAGGCCCTGTAACCTTGGGTGACAGGGTGAAGGTGGGAGCTGGAAGCCTGGTGCTGACAGACGTGGAGGCAGAGGCCACTGTGGTGGGCAACCCTGCTAAGGTGGTGAGGAGGAAGGGTGATGGAAAAGGGGATGGCGGAGACGAGTTTGTGCTGGACTATGTCATCTAATAGAGGATTAGCTAGGCATGTGCTTCATTGCCTGGAAAGTCCTGACATTTTTTTTTGTACATTTCATCATTTATCGCAGTGTGAGACTAGTGGACTGTGATGATGGTAGCGGAGTATGTTTGCCTCGCATGCAAGCTTCCTCTGGCTGCCCATAACTCAACAAGTGACGCGTTTCCTATTTTTCCACTCTGCATACACTTATACAGTTATTGTACCCGAGATATCTCAAAGACGATCGAGAATTTTAGATCGCGTACTGTGGCGATTTGTGTCGTGCGACCTCTCTAGTTATCCCTCTTCCTAGTGTTGCAGACCTGTTGGGCGACTGTACGAGATCGCCATGTCAGCTTCGCACGCACGAACAGCTCAAGCCCTCGCGCGGCGTTGTATCCCTCGTGATTAGAACATTTTGAGCTTCGTTACAAGCCCAAAAAGCGGCTCTCCAGCCCATCAACACTTCCTCCCGCCATTACCTCTTTCTTCCAGCCCCCCACTCTTTTTCAACTCAACACCTCGAGGTTGTCCGCCTGGTTTGCCTCCTCGATTTCTCCTAGTTCTGACACTGTTTCAGTTCAGTCCGATCATAGTGGGCTAGTGGCGCAGGCCGTCGTCTCTTTGAGGCCGCGTCGTCTGTAGACTTGCAGGAATGCTGCATGTACGCTGTGTTTGCAATTAGCTCCCCATCGTATTCTATGGAGGCCGTAATACGAGAGCCAAAGGTAGTTGCTCTCACCATGACGTCCCAAACCTCGATGCTTTCCTCAAGCCGTCCTCGCCCGTATCCGCCGCACAACTTATCGTTATCGGCGCGCTTCCTCGCCGCTGCGCCTCGTCTCTCCTTAGCATCGCCGTTACTCCCTGTCAGGTCCACCAGCGCGTATGCCCCGCGCGGGGGCGTGTCGCTGCTGACTGATTTTGCAGGCCAGAGATTAGCAAGCACGCCCGTTGGAAACGGCCGCTTGACCCGAGGACGCGTGGGCGTGACGCCAGCTCTAACGCCGGGAGGGGCGGTTAAAGAAGGGGATGGACGGCAACAGCGGGTCGTTGCTAAGGCCAAGGCGATCGATGCGCCCCGGAAGACTGAAGTGATTCGGTGAGGGTTTATGAAGGCTCAGTTAATGCCGCACTGCCTGGCATTGATTGCCGTTTCTTTACGCGAACCGAAGTCTGAGCTTGGCTTCCGTTCGCGCCTTTCTCGCTGTGTGCGTTTTGACGAGAGCGTGCACGCCGCGAGGGAGGCCCGTTGAGCCACTCCAACCGCATTCCCTCTCCCCCACCCTCCCCCCCACCCTCTCCCCCACTCCCCTCGCTTCACATTCGCCATGTGCCCGTCTTGGTCTGCACACCTCGCCTCCACTCAAGTTCCCTTGTCCCCCCCCCCCCCCCCGCGCCCGTTTGCCTCTCCCGTGCGTGGCAGGTTGAAGGCGAACCAGTGGGTGTACGACGTGTGCGTGGAGCGCCGCTGCACGGTGGCGGACATCCGCGCGCTCAACCCAACGGTCGACATCGACCGCGTGCTCGCCGGCCAGCGCCTCGTCGTGCCGCGCCGCCCCTCGCCCTTCGATCCCATCGAGCGCGAACTCTCTCGCGCCGCGCAGCAGCTCTCCACCACGTTCGCCGCCCCAACAGGCAGCGCTGCGCGCACTCAAGCTATCACCGCCTCCGCCGGTGGCAAGTCCGCCCCCGCTGCTTCCGCCGAAAAGCCCGTTGAAGCCACCGCTTCCGCTTCGTCCGCAGCCCCATCCCCCGCTCTCCCCTCCGCCGCAGCCCCTTCCCCCTCCGCCGCGCCCACCGCGCCTGCCGCATCGGCGCGCAGCGCGAAGCCGACGGCGCGTCCGTCGGGCGGGTCGTGGCTGGACTCGCTGCTGGGGGGCCCGGCGGGGGGAGGGCTGTTCGGCGAGGAGGTGGAGGAGTACGTGCTGAAGCGCAAGGAGTGGGTGTGCGACGTCGCGAGCCGCCTCGACGTGGACATCGAGTACCTGCGGCGCTTGAACCCCGGCGTCAACCTCGACAACGTGCGCCCCAAGCAGCGCATCAAGATCCCCAAGAGCCGCGCCGCCCGCCTGCGCCAGCAGCAGAGTGTGGGAAGCGGGTCTGACGTGGCGGGGGCGGGGTCGAAGGGGGGGAAGGCGGAGGAGGAGAAAAAGGGCATGGAGGGAGGTGCAGTGACGACCGGGGATGCAGGGGAGAAGGACGGGAAGGCGAAAGGGGGTGCCGTGTCGCTGAAGGGCGCGGACGGGGGGAGCAAGGCAGCGGTCGTGGCTTCCGCTTCAGCTACCTCCCGCGATAAGCCTTCCGCGCGCCAAGCCGCAACTGCTGCTGCGCCTCCTCTCTGCCCCGTCCCCCCATCCGCCGCATCTCCCTCCCCTGCCCCCTCGCCGTCCCCCCCAACCTGCCCCTCCCCTTCCCCTCCCGTACCGACTGCGCCATCCGCCTCCCCGCCCGTGTGCGCCCCCCCGCCCATCTGCAAGCCGCCCGCCTCCGCTGGGCGGGAAGGTGTCAATGTGGGCAGCCAGTCGGGCGGCGATGTGTGCGCAGTGCCGGAGGCGAAGGGCGCAAGCGCTGCGCGGGAGGCGAAGGGGGCTGCGGTACAGGGTGTCGGGGCGGCGGGCGTGGCGGTGGGGGGAGGTGTAGGGGGAGGTGGCGGTAGCAAAGGGGCGCCAGCGGCAGAGGCATCTTTCTTTGAGGCGCTTATTCGGGGGATCGGGGGGGACGGCAAGCAGAAGGATGGCGCGGGGGGGACGCGGGAGAAGCAGCAGCAGCAGCAGCAGAAGGCGACAGAAGCAGCAGCGCCTGCCAAGCAGCAGAAGGATAAAGCGCAGCAACAGCAGGCGCCGCAGCAGCAACAGCAGCAGCAGCAGCAGGGACAGCAGCAAGGGCAGTACGGCGTGGGTCAGCGATTCCGGGTGCACAGGGTGAGACGGGGGGAGTGGATATCCTCGTTAGCGGCGGACTACGGCCTTACAACGGAGCAGCTGCAGGAGATGAACCCCGGCGTCGATCTCGCCAAGGTCAAGCCCGCGGACGAGATCCGCCTGCCCGCGGGGCGCAGGCGGGCAGCGGGCGCGGCCCTCCCCCTGGAGGCCGCGGACGTGGAGGCCATGGGGGGCGCGGTCGTAGTGGCGGCTGGCGCGGGGGACAAGGGCGGCGGAGGGGGAGCAGCAGGTGCGGGAGGCGCAGGGGGGCAGCAGGGTCCCGCGGGCGGGGCGACGGGGGCGCATTTGGCGGGGGCGCGCGTGGGGATGGTGATGCCTGGGGACAGCCTGGTGGACATAGCGGAACGGTACGGCGTCGCGTGGCAGGAGCTGGCGGAACGCAACGGCGTGCGTGAGGGCGAGCAGGGCGCGGGGCTGCAGGTGGGGCAAATCCTCATCATCCCTGACAAGAAGCCGCAGCATGTGGCCTCCATCGGGGGCGTGGGGCACTGGCTGGGCTGGCAGGGCGGGGGGAGGGACGCAGCAGCGGCAGGCGGGGGCACGATTCTGTCGCAGGCGCCAGCGGGCATATCGGTGTCTCTGTCCATCGCGCTCGTGGTGGCGTCGTCGCTGGCCGCCGCTGCCATCATGCGCCTCAACGCGCCCCTGCTCTCGGGGGATAGCGGCGCCACGCCAGGGCTATTCCCCAACCTGCGCTCGCTGCTGTCTCGCCTCCCCGAGCCCGTGGCGTCCGCTTGGAGGCAGATGACGCGAGGCAACACGCAGGGGTCGGAGTCGCCGTCGACCCTCGCGCTTCAGTCCGCCACGACGCCGTCATGGGTGGTGCCGGCCGCGTGGTCCGCGCCGTCCCAGGCGGACATGACCACCATCCTCGCGCTCTCCTTGCTCTCCGCCTCCTCCCCCTCGCTCGGCGGGCTGCTCGCCTCGCAGGGCCTCGCCACGTCCGCCGCGCTGCTGCCCGCCATTGACGCCGCGTGCCGCGCTGCAGCCGACTCGTTGGTCGCGTCAGGACCTGTCCTCGCCGCGATCTCGCTGGTCTGCGCGCCCCGCCCTTCGTCCAATCCCCTGCACCTGCTGCCGTTCCGCCACAGGCCAAAAAGGGGGAAGGCGGGGGTGCTGGGAATGCAGGGGGTGGGCGGGGCGGACGGGAGGGGGTTTGCGCGGGTGGCGCTGGCAGCAGTGCCGCAGCTGGTGGTGGGGAGTGAGGCCATAGGGGCGTGCGTGTGGGCGGAAGGGGGGGAGGCCGGGGAGGGTGTGGTGGATGGGGTGGCAGTGAGAGGGGTGGAGGAGGGCGGGGAGGAGCAGTACTCTGTGGGGGTGCTGCTCATGTCGCTGCCGCCAGGGATGCGGATGGCGTGTGCGGCCATGGGGGAGGGGAACGTGGAAGCCAAGGGGAAAGACGGCGCTGCTTCACCGGCGCTTGCCTCGGCGCTTACGGTGGCTGTGGGCAGACTCACCCAAGCCATGGCGCAGGTGCGCAGGGAAACCAGTGTATTTTTCTGCTGCTCTTGATGCCCATTGTCTAGGATAAGAATAGTGCCAGACTGCGTGTTGCCGTGGTCTGTGCCTGCCTGTCTTTTCTCTTCCGCTCCCCTTCGCCCTGTCCCTGCCCGCACATGGCACAGCCCCGTCCTTCCATGCCCCCTGCTCCTCTCTCTTGTCAAGCATCTGGCATCCGTGCGCTTGTGTATTGACTCTGACCCCCCTTCCCCTGTCCTCCTGTGGCCATCCGTCAGGACCCCCTCCAGCCGTCCCAGCGCCTCTCCTCTGTGCTCGCCTTCCTGCCTTGCGGCGCTGCATCGTCGGCATCTGATATTGTATGCACGCTGCTCTGCCCACACTGCCTCTTCTGCCTTCCCATCTTCCCCATCTCCCACGCCGTCCCTCCCACTTTCGCTCGATCCATAATGCCATAATGGGAATGCCGCTCGTTTTCACGTCTGCTCTTGCTGTGTATTTTAACTCATTCTCTGCCTGTACCCCACTCCCTGGCCCACTTAAGTGTGCACTGCATTACCACCAAGTCTGTTCCACCTTGTTTTCCCCCCTCCTCCCCTCCCCGCTCTGCAGCTGGCGTCCCTGGTCCCAGACACCTCCCTCTACCTCATCGCCTCATCGCCCAACCCCTCGCCACAGCCTCACTGGCATGTGTCTCCGCCCTTGTCACAGCCCGACTCCACACCAAATGCAGCAGCAGCGGCAGCAGGAGGGGGCGTGGGGCAGGGGGTGACGGTGGTGGGCATAGCGGAGGGCGTGGATCTGAACGGCGCGTTTGTGGCGTCCGTGCTGGGGCAGTGGCTGTACGGGCCCAACGTCACGTTGCTGTCTGTGCCCCCCGCCAAGAAGCGCAGAGAGGCCATCAGCTCCTAGGGGTAGCTAGCTAGGCGTGTCTGCAAGCAAGGTAGTGCCACGGAGCGTTGCTTGACTTAGTGTATGGTTCTAGGTGGGTTGTGGGGAGGGGAGTGAAAGCACAAGGCCATGCATGCATGCGTGCCTGGGGGCCAGTGTGTAGGAAATGTACAGAACTGGCAACAGTTCTGTCAATTGTTCCATAGGTGCCCTGTTGGTTATTGTTGATAAACTGCTACTGCTGCTATTACTGCTCACTATAACATGATCCAGTTTAGTGGCCGCATCTCATCCACCATAGAGCATTGTAACACACAAAACGTTCATGCCAGCTTCCATGTTGGTAGCTGGCTTATTCCACTGTGCGTGCCAGTGTGCAACACTGTAGCACACTGTAGTAGTACTTGTAGTCGTGAAAGCAAGTCTTCTAGTATGCACGTGCCCTGGAACAAGGGGCGCATGTGGAAGGGGTGGCCTGCGAGGGGCATGGATGTGTGAAGGGATGGCAAGGCAGGCGGCAGCGTTGAAGCAGGGTGCTCGGCCGGGTGTACGGCAGCACTGCGCATGCACTGAGTGCGGTCACTGTTGTCCACTCAAAACTTTTGGCTTCCAGGAACCAGGAGCCATGTGCATGCGGCATGCAGCATGAGGCATGGCGCATGGGGATGCACGGTGCGCCGCATCACGCGTCCAGGTACTCGCACTCGTGCAGCCTCTCCAGAATCTGCTCAAAGTTGGGCCTCCTCTCCGGGTCGTCCTCCCAGCAGTCTGCCACCGTTCAGGGAGGGGGAAGGGAGGGAGGGAGGGGTGTGGGCAGGAGGGGGCACGGGCAGCAGATAGCAGCACAGAGCAAAGCATCCGTCACACAAAGTGATGCACATGGCGTGCTTGTGTTTGGGCAAGTAGAGGAGGGCCACTCTTGCATGATAGGAGCAGATGAAGCACGGCAGCAGAGGCATGTGCGGGCGGCAAAGGAAAGGAGTACCTGCAATGAGCTGACCCAGCATGCCGTCCGGCACAGGCAGCCGCGCATTGCGATGCGCCACTGCGTATGCCACCTGCCATGCACGCACACATGCACACACACACACATCCGCACACATATGCATCGTGAGCACATGAGACATGAGCATACCGACACTATAGAGACCGCATGGCATTCAATTTCAGAGGGAAGCCCAGCAAGGACGGGGATGACTGTGCACACTGCGCCCCCCTGCTTGCTCGCACCCCCCTGCTCTCACCCCCCTGCTTCTTTTCCCCCCTCTCTCCCCCCCCCCCCCCCCTCCCCCCTTGGTACCTCGAGCGGGTTCTTGACGTCCTCCCAGGGCCGTCGGAGCGTGACGAGCTCCCACATGATGACGCCCATGCTGAACACGTCGCACTTGAACGAGCACACCTCGTTGCGCAGCAGCTCCGGCGCCATCCACTCCGGCGTGCCCGCCGCCGTGCGCCCCACCACGTGGCCGTCGGGAGCGAGGCGCGAGAGGCCGAAGTCGCAGATCTTGACGCACCAGTGCTTGTCCACGAGGCAGTTGGCGCTCTTGAGGTCGCGGTGCACGATGCTCATGCGCTGCACGCACAGCATGCCCCTGGGGGACCAACGGGGGGGGTGGGGGTCATAGACACACATGGTTGGGGAGGCTCAGGATGGTTGGTCCAATCCAAACCATATGCTTCTTCCCCCATCATCCCACCCTTGACATGTTCACATGCACACCCTCTCTCCATCCTAAGCTCCCCAGTACTTCACCTTTTCAACCACAGCCACCAACCCAGCTGCCATCCTTCTCATCCCACCCTGCCAAACCCCCACTCACTGCCCTCATCCATGCCCCCCCCTGTCCTCACCTCCCCCCCCCTCCCACCTGCAGATGTCTCGGAGCATCTTGTAGCGGCGCTTCCAGCTGAGCGACTCGCCACCCTGGCCGGGCTCGCGGCTGTGGATGATGCGGTAGAGCGACCCCATGTGCATGTACTCCGTCACCATGCACAGCTGCGGGTGCTGCACACACGCGCCCATAAATAGCAGCACTGCCAGGAATGGGGGGGTGGTTGAGGTGGGTAGGGGGTGGGGAGGGGTTGTGTGAGGGAATGGGGGGTGGAAGGGGAGGTTGGGACGTGAAGGAAGCGGAATGGAATCAAGAGACGGGTGAAGGCAAGAGGAAGTGATGGGTGGGAGTGAGGAGTGTGAGAGGGGGTGGTGCGACAAGCAGGGCACAAGCACGTGTGAGGTGTGGACCAGTGTGCAGCGGTGTGCCGAGGTGCGCCGGAAGGCATGAGGAGTGCAGTGGTTGGTGGGAGGAGAGAGAGAATGAGGTGTACCATTGGGGTGGCGCAGGCGACTGTTGGAAGGCAGGACGGAGCGCGATGCACAGGATGCCACGACATGTGCCCCCCCGTGTACACACATGCAATCACGCACACACACACATTTGTCAAACCACCCCCAATCCCCCCTCCAATCCCCCAGACACACACAGCACACACAATGCAAGCACACGCACACACAGAGAAAAGGAGTGTGATGAGAAGAAGTGATAATGACAGCTCTTGCGACGCACGCGTGGGGTGGAGGAGTGGGAAAGGCATGCGTGCTCAACTACATGGCTGCCACAGCCTGAAAGCAAAGGCGAAAAGCAACTAGTGCAAGCGAATGGCAGCAGGAGAGAAAGTGCGGCAGTGTGGAGGCAGCAAGGAGCGTGTGATGACCTGAGCAGTGAGATCTCGTTGTAGAAGTCCTCGTACTCCTCCGGCGACGGGTCATCCTGCAACAACAGCCGCTTCACCGCCACCTCTGTACCCCGCCACACCGCTCTGAAAACCTCCCCGAACGACCCTGCAAGCAGCACCAGCAAGGGCGGCCAATCGGAGTACGGCTATAAGTGCGTGGCAGAAAGAGGCATGATGCATGAAAGTATGGGCACAAGGTGGTGCCCGCATGAAAGCAGAGGCCCGTGCCAGGCACTCACCGATGCCCACTCGGATGCCGAGGCGCAGCTCGTTGAAGTCGATGGCCCACTGCTCGCTGGCCACCACTGCCGCTGCCGCCGCTGGTAGCGTTGGGATCACTGCAGGGGGCGCACCAGGCACAGCCGGCACAGCAGGCACGCCGTGCCTCTGGCTGCCAGGGGCGGAGGAGAGCGCTCCACTGCCCGGTGCCGAGGTTGAAGGGGGCATGGGGCGATGCAGGGAGGGCGGGTGGGAGGAGACGGGTGGTGGTGGCGAGGTGGGGTTTTGCGGGCGCGGGGAGGCGGGGGGAAGAGGACTGACGTAGCCTGAGCTGCCGCTGGTGTTGCCCAGCGATGGCTGCGACCGGTGGCTCATGCCCTGCCGTTGTTGCTGCTGCTGCACGCCCCTGCTGCTCTCGCCGCTTCCTGCAGCTGCTGTTGCCCCAGACTGCCCCCCATTTGCTGCCTGCCTCTCTTGCTCGCCCTCCTGTCCTTGCTGGGCCGTTACTGACTCCTCCCTGCCTCCGTCCTCCCCACTTTCCTGCTCCCCAACTTTCTCCTCCCCACCTCTCTCCTCGCTGCCCCTCCTATCGTCCCCATCCTCTCGACCTGTCACTTCTCTTGCTTCCCCCTGGTCTCTGCCCTCCCCGTCGCCCTCCCCATCAGCCCTGTCACCCTTGCCCGCGCCTCCCACATCCCCCTCTTCCTCCCTCACCACCCCCCCTTCCAAGCTCTCCCCACAACCTGCCCCCTCCGTCCTTCCCCCATCCCCTGCGCGCCTCCCCTCTCCCTCCCCCTGTCCCGGCCCCCCAGCATCACTGCCACGGCCGTCAGAGCCGACAGCAGCGGAGGTGGAGAGGGCAGCGGGGGTGGTGGCGGTGGAGGGGGTGGAGGCGGCAGTGGCGGGGACGGCAGGTGAGAGCAGGCCGGGGGCGAGCGGCCAGTGCTGGTGGCACGTGGGGCACACACGCTGACACGGGGCGGGGAGAGGGGCCGGGCACGTGGGAGGGGAAGAGGGAGGAAACCGAGGTGCATGATGCAGGGTTAGTGAAAAGAGGACATAGGAAGCGAGGTGGTGAAACGAGGATGCAGCAGTGAGACGATATGGAGACGTGCAGTGGGTTGCAGTGCGGAGGCAGGTGGCAGAGGGAGGGCAAGGAGCGGAGACGGACCAGGGCTGAGAAGGATGGGGCTGCAGAGACAGAGGTGGAGGAGGTGGGGGGCAGCGGCGAGGGCGCAATGGAGGGGTCGCTGCCGTCCGCCATGATCTGCTGCTCCGCTGCTGCCGCCGCTGCCGTCTCCACTCTCAGCGCCCGCCGGTCCCTGCGGATCGCCTCGTTGTACTCCCGCACCTTCCTGGAAGCACAGAGCAGCCACGGTGGCACGGTGCGTTAGAGAGAGGAGCAGGGGGTACTGCGCACAGAGATGCATGGCTCACACGCAAGTCGAGACACCGCCATCGCAGGGCATGGCAAGGCATGGCACGGCACGGCATGGCACGGCACGGCACGGCATTGCATGGCACGGCATGGCATTGCATGGCACGGCACGGCACGGCACGGCACGGCATTGCATGGCACGGCACGGCACGGCATGGCACGGCACGGCACAGCATGGCACGGCATGGCACGGCACGGCACGGCACGGCATGGCATGGCACGGCACGGCATGGCACGGAATGGCACGGCATGGCACGGCACGGCACGGCACGGCATGGCACGGCACGGCACGGCACGGTATGGCACGGGTGTGCAGGGCGCAGAGGGCATGACTCACTTGGCCACCTCGTCGCTGACCTCCGGTGCTGTGGCACGCCGACGACCACTGCACACACAGGGGGGAGAGGTGGGGCGGGAGAGCAGGATGATGCAGAGATGGTACAGCGTAGCAAGGTTGGCCAACCACGACACATCTCGAGAGGATAGACGATTTCTCATCAAGGGGAGAGCGGGACAGGGCATGAGATTATCAAGGTGGTGCATGCAGCGCACGAGAGCAAAGATCGGTGGGGCACGCGGCACAGCATGCAGCAGCAGTCTCACCGCGGAGCAGATGGCTCCCCCACTCCTCTGCGCGGCGGCGGCGTGGGGAGGAACGTGCGATTCCTGCCATGCCATGCCATGCCATGCCATGGCGGAGCCACAAGGGAGATGCGGCAAAGGGAACGGAAGGTGAAGTGCATGCAAGAGAAATGCACAATAGCCCTACAATAACTGCGCAAGCACTCCTGCACTTGTCATGGTGCATGCTCCACCTCACAGCTCTCATTCCACCAGATAAGCACTCCACATGCACTCACTGCATTCCACACTAATCAGCCAGCAGCACTATCAATCCTCAGGCACCCTTCCCCCCCATTGCCCCCCGCACGTACTGCTCCATGCCTGCCGGCACGATCTCAGAGGACCCGTCAGCAGCGGAGTAGGTGCGGCGGCGAACCAGAGGGGGCGCGGCCTCAAATGGACCCACCGGGGGCGTGGGGGCCAGTCCTCCTGCTGCCGGCCCTGCTGCCGCCGAGCCTGATGCTGCTGCATCCGCCAATGCTGTTGAACTGACAACGGGGCAGGGAGGAAATATGTGTGAGTATGTGAGTATGTGAGTTGAGTATGGGTGGAGGAAGTAGCACGCAAGGGAGCACTGTGGCTCCGTGGCAATACAGCCAGCACAGCATAGTGCACACACACACATGCACACGCAGACACGCGCACACGCAGACATGCGCACACGCACCTGGAGGGCGGTTGCCTGGCGTCGGCATCATCTGACCCCACTGTGCTGCGCCTGTATGGACTGCAGCCAGGGGAGGGCGTGAATGGCGGATGGGATAGGGGAGGGGGGGGAATGGGGAGCAGGGAGTGAGAGGAGACACAAGAGGCACCTGTGGCTGGCCCTGGTGATGGATTGAATGCAGCACGCCACACCGCATGCGTGCACGAGAGTGGCAGTGAAATTGCACTCTAAACTGAACGAGTCCGGAGGGGGAGGGCCTGCGGAGCACCTGTGGGGGGAGGCGGTGTCCAAGGAGCGCCGGTGCATGAGGGCCAGGGACGCCCTGGAGCGCGCCGACATGAACGAGTGGTCCGACATGCTGCCGTCCGACCTGCGGGCGCACACACATGGGCGTGGCGCGGGGGCTGTCATGGGCAGCAACATGACGGCCTGCTTGCATGGGGCGGCGCTGCTCACGGGGCGGTGCATGACTCGCTGCCACCACACCACAGCATGGCATACTAGGAAAAGCAGGCCACACAAGGAGCTGGGAGAGCACAGCACAGCGCAGCGCAGCACAGCCCAACACGGTTCACCAGGCCACTCACCTCCCGGCCCCTGGTGGCACTGGCCCCCCCACTGCTCCTGCCTGCATTCCTCCCAGTCCGCCCATCCCCCCTCCCCCTGCAGCGAGCGCGGCACCGGAGGCAGGCGGGGTGGGCGTGTGGGAGGCGGACGTCACTGCAGCCACGGCTGCTGCCGCCGTCGCACCCATGCGCTTGTCCGAACTCGACCGGTATGCCTGCACCGCCTCGGGACTGACACACACCATGCACACGGGTGAAGGGAGGAGAGAGGAGCGTGTGGGAGAATGGTAAGTACCGAGGGGCATGTTGAGATGAGGGTCCTGCAGGTGGAGTGAGCAAACTTGCATGTGCCGAATGAAAGAGCTGACGCGGCTGAGTCACGACTTGCACGAATCCCATGGCAGCACATCACGACGGCCACAAGTGGAGGTGACAGGGCCTTGTGGTGCAGGTAGTGGGCTGCACCTTGTTTCAACGCTGCCGGAGACGGGTGTGCGGCGCATGAGGTAGGGGGCAGCGCGCGCGCTGATGGCAGCACCGCCCTCCGACTCGCTGACGGCGCCGCTGAGCAGCGACATGCGCTCCAGCGCGCCCATGCGCTCGTACCGCCCCGGCCCGCCCTCCCCTCCACTCATGAAGCCCCGCTCACACGCATTGGCCGACCGCGAGTGCTGCATGTGCGTCCTGCGGCACACGGGGAGGAAGAGGTAGTGGAAGGGAGGGGTTGCGGCGGACGGGGGGGTAGATGGCTGAGAGGGCAGAAACTCCAGAAACAAATGTGCCGTGAGAAGCACAGTGGATGAACTGGTGTCATGTCCGATGCTCAATGCAGGGGGCTCTCAAGTGAACCATAAGGCTACTGCATCCACTGCACATTCTCTCCTCCTTCTTCCTGCTGGCCCTGCCCGCCTTGCTCCTCTTCCCCTCCTCGTCCCACCCTCTCCCTCCCCCCCCCCCCTGCCGCTGCTGACCTGCCTGCGAGGTGGCCCAGCCTGTCCTCCTGCATGGCGCGGCGCCTGCTGCGGTGCCGCCGCATGTTGCCCTCGGGCTCGCTCGTGGGACTGGGAGGGGAGGGCAATGGCGGGGACAGCACGGTAGGGCAGGTTGTGGATCAGCGGGGAAGCAGGGTTGGGAGGCGGAAAGAGGGGTGAGAGGAGGAAGGTGGCGAGGCAAGGGTGGTCCCGTGCAATGGAGTGATACTGCAACCACAGCTGCACTCGCCAGCGGATTGCTCTGCAACCCCACCTGCAATCCCGGCCCACGCAGAACTCACACCCCTCTCCTCTCTGCGGCTCACCTGAGCGCGTTCCCAGAGGGTGCAGCAACAGACGGAATGGCGAGGGCGGAGGGCGGTGCATAGGCGGCAGGGCGGCGGGAGGAGTGGCCAGAGAGGTACGACATGTAGCGCTCCACGCTGAGGGGGCACGGGACACGGGGACGGGGGCATGGCATGGCAGGCATGGGCGAACGCGAGGGGATGAAAGGGAGAAGAAGCTGAAAGGGTGACATGGGGGTGCAAGGAAGAGCGTAGGCAGCATGGAGAGGAGTGGTGATAGCAAGGTGACGAGTGTGGGTGGGTGGCAGGACTCACGAGCGCGTAGCATCAGCAACGCCCGTGCCTGAGAGGCCAGCGGTGGCGGCATCTGGAGGGGCGGGCCCGCGCACGGAGTGGGATGCGAGCGCGGTGTGCGAGAGAGCGGCGTCCACCGGGTCCAATGACGACCCCGTCAGCGACGACAGCGATGGCCCCGCACGCGCACTGCGAAGGGTGGGAAGAGGGGGAGATCAGGGTGGCAGGGGGGCAGTGCATAGAGAAGCCAAACGACTCAGCAGGTGAGGGTATGAATAGGGGTGAGGCATGAAGGAAAGGTCGGGTGCAAGGCGACGCGGAGATTGGATAAGGTGGTAATGGTGCGGGCGACAGGTGCGCAGCAGCAGCAGCAGCAGAAGGTGGTGCGCGGATACCTGGATCGGAAGGGGTCCAGGTTGTCACTGAGAAGGGACGGCCGCCGAGCAAACTCCTGGCTGCACTCACGCACACACAGAGGCGCATCAGTGGCTGACTGACAGGGAGAGCGTACCTATCACATGGCCTGGGTTGCATTTCTCTCTTATCCCAGGGCTCACCTGGGGCGGGCTCCGTCGAGGTTGTCATTGAGCAGGGACGGGCGGCGGGAGAACTCGTTCCTGCTCAGCGCGAGGCGAGAAGCACGCAGGAGCAACGGGGCGTGTTAAGAAGGGTGGAACATGAATACACGGTGCAATGCGGTACCAAGGCGAATAGGCTTCCCACGCCAGAATCCCCAACGCCCACCAACAATTGACTTGCCACGGCCGTCGCTGCGTGCTACACCCCGCACCCACCCGGGTTCGAGGAAGGAGCAGTGGTCCAGATCGCGGCGCTGCGAGGCAGCGAGCGAGGAGCGCGCGCGGGCGGACATGAAAGGACGCTCGCCGCCGCTGCCGTACCCCTCGCGACTGCCCATGCCGCCACGCCCGCCCGCCCACACCCGCTGCCCCGGGCTTGCACTGCGCCGTCGCTACAATCCCACCCCAACCTGATGGGCACTGCTAGTGAAGCCGCTGCAGCCCTATAGCGGGTTTCGATGTCGCGGCACGGGGATGGGTGGGTGCGCGCTACATGGGGCTCGGGGATGCTGCTCTCACTGACGCCCGGAAGCTAGCCTCTGTCGCTCTGGTCCACGGCTGCCACGCCCTCCCACCCTTCACACGTGCGCAGCACGAGGGTGAGAGGGTGGTGCTTGGGTAAGAATGGCAAGACGGTGATCGTGGGGCGCGGAGGTCTGTTGGCGAGATGCTTGTCCGCGAGGCAAGGGACGAGGGGAGGAGACAGGAGCAGCAGACGAACGGGTGATGGTGAGAAGAATGGCGGGTGCGCGACAGTGCGACAGTGGATCGAGGCACGCGGGGGAATGAGGGACGAGGCCAGAACAACTGGGCGCCCAGAACTGTGAAGGAAGATGGCGGCAGGAGCGATAGGTCACGGCGTGGCGACGATGCTGAGGAAAAGAGCAGATTTCTAGCAGTGGTGGCGAGCGCAACATACGAGAGTGGGTTCTGTGGTGGAGCAGTGTGGTTCGTCAACAGCGGGGATCGCTGCGAGCGATGGCGAAAATCGGATGCCGTGGAGGCAGGACGACGACGAGCGCGGGGTCTTCGTAGCGCACTATCGACGTCTAAGATCGGCGAGCAGGGTGGGAGGCTGACGCGTGTGCGCCGCACAGTGCGACTGCGATCCAGCAGCACTGACCTTGCCACTCCCCTCGCTCGGCCTAACACAAACTTCAGTGTGCGAGGAATATGGGCGAGCGAGCGCGCTGCACGGCAAGTACGGATTCGAGCTGCTTGGAATGTGGGTTTTTCACTGTGCAGTGGTAGTGGTAGGTCTCGGCCCCTGTAAGCGGCAGACGCGGCAAGGTGAAGACTTGCTGGCAGAAGAATGTCAGGACCAGGTGACCCTCTGGCAGTGGGGAAGGTTGGGATGAGCTGCCTCGATTTGGGAAGGGTGATGAGAATGGCATTCGCGGACCAGCGTGGCGAAGCTCGCATCTCTTGTTGGGACGACTTGGAACGCCTGCCTGACGTTACCTAGGTTACATCTTGTCGCCTTCCACACACACATTCCTGTGTGCTGCCGAATCCCAGGATTCTCTGGATTTCCGAGTTGATAACAAGTGCTCGGCGAGTGTCGTGACAGTGATGATATCGGAGATGGAAGCAGCACACCTCTAGGGATTTATAACGCGTACGGATGAGCTGTACACCGCTTACATCCTTGTTTTGATTGCAACCTAACTGTATGTACCATTATCACCGAAACGTACGCGCTGTAGGGAAAGAAAGGCACCCTGGCTTTCTCATCCACTCCATGGGGGGTTGGACCTCTTCGGTGTAGACCTTACGGAGTTCTCAAAGTTGGGGAAGCAAATCTGTTTTCCGTATCACTGCCTTGTCTGCACCACACCACACCACAATCCACAGCAGCTAATCTGTGTAAGTTGGCCCACCGCTACTGTGCGCTTTCCCTTCATTCTTGAATCGCCATCTCGAGTGTACTCGTGCCTCGCCTCTTCGCGTGACCCCTCCTGTCTTTTCTCTCTCGCAAGTGTTGTCGGAGTGGCCGTGGCGATGGCTGCGGACAGTGCGGCGGTGCAGGCGGTGAAGGGGCTGGACATAGCGAAGATGGCGGGCAAGTGGTACACCATCGCCAGCATTCCGCCCAAGGGTCAGCCGACGGATAGCAGCGGCAACACGACGACGTACACGGTGAACAAGGACGGCACGAGCCTCAAGGTGGTCAACGAGGCCATCATGGCCAACGGCAAACACGGCAAAGTGGAGGTGCGACGCGGACGAGAGAGATCCACACAGGGACGAAGAAGAGAGGCGGAGAAGAGAGGCTAACGCGCGAAGTTGCAACTCTTTCCTCCCCAGATTCGTTGCTCTAGCCTTGACCTCTCCCCTTCTTCGGCCCCATCGCCTCCTCGTTCCTGCTTCAGGGTAAGCTGGCGCGGGCGAATAACGCCGGCGACGAGGCGCGGTTTGGGCAGACGTTGTGGGTGCCGCCGTTTGCGCCGATCATTCCGGTGCACACGGACATCTGGGTGATGGCGGCGGAAGGTGACAACCCCCAGTACATGCTGCACGGCCACCCCGCACGCCAGGCGCTCTGGGTACGTGTGGGGTGCGTGGGGGGGGAAGAGTGTTGGGCAGAGCAGCTGGAGGGCGTGATTTGAGAGCGACATTGGGCAGAGCGCGTTTGTTGCTTATTGCACTGTGCCTGTTGGTGAATCTCCATCCCCAAAATAAAGGGCATGCGATTCTTGCCTTTCTTGATGATGTACCGTGTGCAGATACACAGCAGAACGCCGGAATTGCCGAAGGAGATTGTTGATAAGCTGCTGCAGGTAAGGAAGCCCCTACGTCACCCACGCAACGCAATCCTATGTCAAATCAGCCCATTACACTGATTGCCTCTGGCATTCTCTCATATGCCCCCCGTTTCTCCTCGACAGATGGCTGCTGACCAAGGATTCGACTTGAGCAAACTCATTTACTACAAGCAGACTGCTCCAGAAACTTCAACTTGAGAACACGTGCTCGATTATGGACTGCCATGCAGGCAGTCGGGATTGCACAAACATTTTCTTTGCTGGAGAATGTTTGCATACAATAATATGATTCACTATTGGATTGCAAAATTGTTTAGGGCAACGTTGGTTGGGAATCCAAACGTTGGATGTTACATGAATGTAGTATGAAAACAATAAGCACTTCATGATAGGGAGCTTGATGTAATTTGACGTGTATGACTGGTGATGTTACGGAATCCCCCACACAAGACCATCTTGCCAGCCGTGCTACTTAGCCCTTCCGCCAGCGCCCAGTCAGCGTTGCCTGTCAGGCGCACAAGGGTCACATCCATCAAAGCCATATTGACGTGTCAGCTGATCGCTTCCTTCGAGGAGTCCACGTCATCACTGGCCCGTCCCTCCCGCCTCCTCCTTCCCTTGGCTAGTCCACCCCGCCTGCTCCACCACCCGTGTGTGCCCCTCGCCTGGCCAATCTTCATTTTCATCATTTCTGCTCTGCTTCGCTCTGCTCGCCATTCCTACGCCTAGTCACCGTCCTCAGCTGTCCCTATTCTCCCAATCATGGCGGCCGCCAAGTCCCTGCTTTCCAGCCATGCTGTTGTGAGTGCCTCCTATCGTCCATCCGTTGTCTTTCCTGCCGTAATTTTCTCTGATTCTAAGATTCCCCTCGCGTCGGTGCCAGATGCCGCTCATGGCTCGTCAGCGAAGCTGCGTCTGAGATTCATGCTGTTCTCCACTCGTGCGCTTCCTCCTTACATAGCATCTCTTCCGGCTGTCTCCTCCCTTCCGTCTCACTCGCTTCCATTGCCCATGTCCGTTCCTGGTCGCGCATGACTTGTGAGTCATTCTTCGCCTCCACGTTTTTGCGCGCAATCATCTCTTCCCCCCCCCCTGCACCCCCAATCCGCGTCTGTGCCTCGTCGCCCGCCGGCCAGCAAGCGGTGTCCCGCGTGTCCATGGCGGCGACCGTGAGATCGCGCGCGGTCGTCGCGTCCTTCGTGGCGGCGCCTCGCTCCTCGGCGGCGTCCCTCGCGGCGTCGTCCTCGTCGCTCATGTCGCCGCTCTCCGCGGCGTCGCTGGCGCCCGCCACCACCCGCCGCCAAGTCTCGTCCTTCTCCACCGCGCCCCGCGCTCAGGTGGGCTAGCCGTGCTTTGAATCTGTCGACCTGCGGTGCGTTGGGTTTGCGACGTGTCGTCCATGTGGCACGTTAGCCTTTGTTCCGCACATCCCATTCACCGGGATCCTGTCCTCTCCCCATCCCTCTTCCCTCCTTCCGCCCCATTCGCCGCATGCGCGCCTTCCCCCCCCCCTCTCTTCCTTTTACACCCTTGGTGCGCGGTGCGCGGGGCGGGCAGGCGGGCGCGGAGCCCAAGGTGACAAGCAAGGTGTTTTTCGACGTGGAGATCGGCGGCAAGCCCGCGGGGCGCATCGTGCTGGGCCTCTTCGGGGAGAACGTCCCAAAGACCGCTGAGAACTTCCGCGCGCTCTGCACCGGTGCGTCGGGTGTCGCGCGCCCTTACCGCCGCGTGTCAGAGCCACCGCGTGTCCAGTTGTCCCCGTCGCTTCCAGTGAACCGCCCTCCGGCTGTCTCTCCCGCCCATAGATCCGCGTCATCCCTGATGTTTCCCCCGTGCCCCTCATCGTGTCGCTCCCCACCGCTGCCCTCTCGTGCGCACCACCCCTCTTTCCTGGCAGGCGAGAAGGGCTTCGGGTACAAGGGGTCGGCGTTCCACCGCGTGATCCGCGACTTCATGATCCAGGGCGGCGACTTCACGGCCGGCAATGTCAGTGCCCCGCCCAGTCTAGCCCCGCCCAGCCCATCTCGCTGCCCCGGGCTTGCGTGATGCCAGCTCCCATCCCAAACCTCCGTTTCCCCCGTGTCCGCTTGCGTCTCCCTTCTAACTCATGGCTCCGTTCGCCGTTCCTTTCCCTCACCCTCATTCTCGCCCGCAACCTACCTGTCCACCCGCCTAACGATGATTCCGTCTGTCTGCGCTGTCACCCCTTTTGTTCCGCTCCCTTGATCGTGGGCGCGTCGTCCGCACGCGGCACGGCGTGGCGGCACCAGGGGACGGGCGGCAAGAGCATCTACGGGCTCAAGTTCCCAGACGAGAACTTCCAATGTACGCACACAGGGGGGGTCGGGCAAAGGCTGTGCCGCATGCATGGGCGGTGCTGCATCGCCTTGCGTTGCACTAGTGTTTGAAATGTCGGGGTTGGCAAGGGCATGCAGGGTGTGATCAATGATTTTCCCCGTGCGTTTGTTCGCTCGTGCCCTTGTGCTGGTGTCCCCCTCCGTGTGCGTGCAGTGACGCACACGGGCCCTGGCATTCTGAGCATGGCGAACGCGGGCCCCAACACCAACGGCAGCCAGTTCTTCATCTGCACCGTCAAGGTGACGCACTCTTCCTGGGGAAGTGCTCACGCGGTGCAGTGTTCGTGTATGGCGGGTTTGGGTGCCGTACTGCTAGGGGTTTAGGGAGTGGCGGCACAGGAAAGTCAGTCAATTCTGACCCGGATTCAGCAGCCATGCAGGCACCACGGGTGTTCGGCTGCCAATCTGTGCATGATGTGCTACACGCTCACTGCTGCCTCATGCCACATGGCAAGACCAGGGGGGTTTACGAAGTATGCCCTCATCTCAGCTGGCTACTCATCTCTCGCCTCCGCCCTCAAACTTTCTTCTTCCCCGTGCTGTTTCCTGCTTGAATGATGGTGTGTGTGTGTGTGTGTGTGTGTGTGTGTGTGTGTGTGTGTGTGTGTGTGTGTGTGCGTGCCTGTGGGTGCACGTGCATGCGTGTGTGGGTGTGTGTGCATACCCGGTGTGCAGACGCCGTGGCTGGACGGCAAGCACGTGGTGTTTGGGCAGGTGCTGGAGGGGCTGGACGTGGTGCGCACCATAGAGGGCCAGCAGACGGACCGCATGGACCGGCCCAAGGCCAAGTGTGTCATCGCTGACTCGGGCGAACTGCCGCTCTAAATTCACCCTGCCTGCGCTGGGCACGGGTGCTGCACTGCCCGTGACCTGTGGCTCACAATGGAAGCAATTTTGGGAGGGGTGCAAGGGGGCCTGTCACATTGGCAAGTAGAATCTTGCTGTCGTTGCTGTTCCTTAGGATACAGTTGACAGCTTGGAATGTGTTGTGTGACAAGCGTTGAATCCCAGCTTACAGCTCATTCAGCACAATGCTCCTTGAATTACGCATTTAACAGTACTGTGCAAGATACGTGAGCAAATATGCACCCAATCCACTGTAGCCGATACAGTACACTACTTCCATGCACGCATCCGACCACGTGGGTTGGTGAGACGGCTGCTGCCACCCACCTCGAGCTTATCTGATAAGCCACCATCGCCCGCCCACGACGCTCCGCTGTTTACTCTCGTTCCCTCCCTCACCACCACCTTCCCGCATTCCTCTACCCACCGCTCTCCCACTAGCCATGCAAGCCGCGCCGCAGTCCTCTCTCCCGCGCAACGCGCTGCGCGTGGTGTCGGTGGCGGCGGTGGTGCTGCTGGCGTACTTCCTCGGCCGCCCCATCTACTGGCGCCTCGCCGCCACCGACGTCGGCCCCGACGCGCCCATCCCGCCCGAAGTTGGTAAGGCGCGCTGCGCGCGAGGGGCGCATGGCGGGGAGGGGTAGCGCGGGGAGGTGTGCAGCGCGAATGGTGGCGCGCACGAGATGGCGGCTGATTACAGTGGTGGATGCTTGCCGGAAGAGTGCACATGGCATGCGAGCGGTGGGGTGGACCCCCGACAGGCACGCAGCTGCTGCCATGACATATCGACATGCCGCACTCTGCTCACCCACTGGCTTTTCACATTCCGACATCCGTCCCCGCATCCACCGTTAGCCTTGCTCCCCTGTTCTCTCCTCGCGATTCTACCTTTGCCTCCCGCTCCCACCTCCCTGCCGTCTCTCACCTCGGTTCATGTTACGTCCCTCTTCTGCCTCCCTTACTCTCTTGCCCTGGCCCCACCATCACCTGCCTCCCCTCCGCCCCTCCCCTCTCCGTTCTTCCCTCTCCGCCACCCACCCCCTCCCCCCCCCCTTTCCGGCAGACCCCGAGGTGGCGCGCCTGCGGTCCGTGGTGGAGGGCGCCGCTGCTGGGGAGGGCGCCGCTGCTTGGGAGGGCGGTGCTGCTGGGGAGGGCGTCGAAGGCGTCGTCACAGATGCTCACAGCAGGGGGGGGGAGGACGGCATGCAGGCACACATGGCGGACGAGGGGGCAGGGGAGGGGAGCAGTGTGGGCGGAAGAATAAACAGTAGCGGTGGGGATGGGGGGCCACGCGAGGAGGAGGGCTTGCAAGGAGGCAGTGCAGGCACGGACAGGACTCAGAGCAACGGGGGCGGCCAGAGAAACGGCGAGGAGGGCAGGGATGGGGATGGCGCTAGGGACGAGAGTGGGGAGGGGGGAGCAGAGGGGAAGGAGGAGAGTGAGGGCGGAGGGCTGAGGGATGGTGCGGGGAAGAGTGAGGAGGCTGCGGAGGATGGGGACGAGGGAAATGGAGGAGCAGAGAGAGATGATAAGGGCGGCGACGCGGAGGAGGTCGGCAGAAAGAAAGTGAAGCAGGCCTCGGAGAGCAGTGATGGTGAGGTGGAGCAAGAAGGTGGAGAGAAAGCTGCAGCAGATGACGAGAATGGCAGCGATGCAGACGCAGGTGCACATGGTGGCAGGGAGAGTGCCGGCACGGGTAAAGGTGAGGCAGGGGGCAGAGAGGAGGCACAAGACGGTACAGATGAGGAAGCAAGTAGCACAGGGGGCGAGGAGGCGGAGGAGCCAGATGCGGACTCCATTCGGGTGAGCAGCCGCAAAATGAAGACCCGCAGGAGCTCAAAATCGCGGTCTCACACTGAAGATGAGGGGGAATGAGATGAGAGGCAGCAATCATCTAGGGACATTGTGACAGGAGGGGTACCTAGGTTCCAGCTCATGACACTTCATCCCAGACTTCTGGCATGGGCGGATCTGTTTGTTGCCGTTATTTGCAAATTTTGTGGAAGAGCTCTGAAAGGGATGTTGCTGCTTGTCAAAGCTCAATGATGTTGGAAATACCTCGAAGACTTAAAGCCCGTGGCTAAAATAGCAGACCCTGATGCCACTTGAATTTTCAGGTGCTGAATATTGGTTAAGTATAGAAACACCTGTTTTCGAACAAGAGCGTTCCATTTCGTGCTTGGAAACAAAATGAAAAACACTCAAAGCTTTTGATTGGTCCAGACTGAAAACGAACAACCATGCTGTGCGTTACGACACGGTGATTTTTGTGCGAGACGCAAGTGACAATGTGCGGATTGCCTACACCCATGCGACGTGCACTCGGCGATTTTAGGGGAGGGGAGCGAGTCGAGGGAAAAAGGGCGCAAAGCGACCATGGAAATCAAGTGATTTCCAGGTCTGCAACTCCTGATTCAAGCGGCCCCAGCAAATCGACGAGCCGAAACCAACACGACTAGCGCAATTCTGCTACCATAGCACAAGCACACAGAATCGACATCGGCATAACAGCTTAGAGCAGCAACGCGTGCCACGATTACAGACGGGGGAACCAGCCACGACGAAAGCGAAAGCGAGTTGTGTGGACAGACCTATGCGGGAGGGTATGCAAGCTACTATACCCGATTAGCTGCCAAATGCAAGCCTCCAAATGCAGCCCAGGCCCACGCGACTCCCAACCGTCAACGTACGAGAGTCGCTTACGCTCACGCCAGGGAGTCTCACACAACCTCACCTCACTCCACGGTACGCCCCACGACCACCCTCTCATGTCGTATCCTCGTGATTTCGACTCCCGCCACCCGCCTCCCTGCTCCCACGACCCGCCTCCCACCTCCCTCCTCCCCCCTCCTACCTCCCACCTCCCACTGGTCCTGTCCTGTCCTGTCGCTCCCTGCCCTGCCCTGCCCTGCCCTGCCCTGTCCTACCCTGCCCTGCCCTGCCCTGCCCTGCCCTGCCCTGCCCTGTCCTGCCCTGTCCTGCCCTGCCCTGTCCTGCCCCGACCTGTCCTGTCCTGTACTGTCCCGACCTGTCCTGTCCTGTCCTTTCCTGTCCTGTCCTGTCCTGTCCTCTCCTGTCTGGTCTTGTCTTGTCCTTTCCTGCCCTGCCCTGCCCTGTCCTGCCCTGTCCTGCCCTGTCCTGTCCTGCCCTGTCCTGTCCTGTCCTGCACTGCCCCGTCCTGCCTTGCCCTGCCCTGCCCTGTCCTGCCCTGCCCTGCCCTTTCCTGTCCTGTCCTGTCCTGTCCTGTCCTGTCCTGTGCTGTCCTGTCCTGTCCTCTCTTGTCTGGTCTTGTCGTGTCTTTTCCTGCCCTGCCCTGCCCTGCCCTGCCCTGCCCTGCCCTGCCCTGCCCTGCCCTGCCCTGCCCTGCCCTGCCCTGCCCTGCCCTGTCCTGTCCTGTCCTGTCCTGTCCTGCCCTGTCCTGTCCTGTCCTGCACTGCCCCGTCCTGCCTTGCCCTGCCCTGCCCTGTCCTGCCCTGCCCTGCCCTGCCCTGCCCTGCCCTGCCCTGTCCTGTCCTGTCCTGTCCTGTCCTGTCCTGTCCTGTCCTGTCCTGTCCTGTCCTGTCCTGTCCTAACCTGTCCTGTCCGGTCCTGTCCTGTCCTGTCCTGTCCTGTCCTCTCATGTCTGGACTTGCCTTGTCCTTTCTTGCCCTGCCCTGTCCTGCCCTGTCCTGCCCTGTCCTGTCCTGCCCTGTCCTGCCCTGTCCTGCCCTGTCCTGCCCTGTCCTGCCCTGTCCTGTCCTGCCCTGTCCTGTCCTGTCCTGCACTGCCCTGTCCTGCCCTGTCCTGTCCTGCCCTGCCCTGTCCTGCCCTGCCCTGTCCTGTCCTGTCCTGTCCTGTCTTGTCCTGTCCTGTCCTAACCTGTCCTGTCCTGTCTTGTCCTGTCCTGTCCTAACCTGTCCTGTCATGTCCTGTCCTGTCCTGTCCTCTCCTGTCCTGTCCTCTCCTGTCTGGTCTTGTCTTGTCCTTTCCTACCCTGCCCTGTCCCTGCCCTGCACTGTCCTGTCCTGTCCTGTCCTCTCCTGTGTGGTCCTGTCCTGTCCTGTCCTGTTCTGTCCTGTCCTGTCCTAACGTGTCCTGTCCTGTCCTCTCCTGTGTGGTCCTGTCCTAACCTGTCCTGTCCTGTCCTGTCCTGTCCTTTCCTGCCCTGCCCTGTCCTGCCCTGTCCTGTCCTGTCCTGTCCTGTCCTGTCCTGTCCTGCTCTGTCCTATCCTGTCCTGCCCTGTCCTGTCCTGTCCTGACTCCCCCCACTTCCATCTAATTATTGCAATCTCTGATGTGTTCCCACCTCCCACCATTGCACCACGCAGATAAGCCAGGAGCCTCGACAAAGTCTCACTCGCGGCCCGGCATAGCATCAAACGTCAATTGGCAAGAATCTTGGTCACCTGTCGCCTGAAGTACGTGCGTGTTTTATAACCACTCGCCTAGTGTGCATCGGAGCAGCGTACCATCGGTCTCGGTAAATATAAGGTTCCTGAACCAACCAGTGTGGAGGACATGAAAATATTGCCTAAAAGAGTAACTATTTCCTGTCGGTGCATACACATAGCCGGACACAAGAGGCATTGGTACCACATATGAATTGCATGTTGGCCCTGTGTCTCCACAAACTGTGCCTCCGACACCCCTAAGCATTGCCACGCTTCTCTGCCGTGCACCATCACCCGCCAAACCCGTGGCGCAAACATTGCTAACCCTGAAATCATCCACGCTCATACAGTTCCATTCCATCCAGCTTACCAATAATGTTTGTCCACGCAGATAGCCTCTCCCTTCCAAAAGCTCCCCCTCCCCCACCCTCTCACGCGCGCTCAGCGCCCAGGACGCCCAACAACTCCTCACGTCGAGTGATCGGACTGTCGGGGCTCGGGGGGCTCCTAACCACACACCCCGCCTCGCACGATACGCCCATTACTCACCCCCCGGGGTACACTTCCCATTTCCAGCTCCTTGCTTGTATCTGCACGGACCCTACACTGCATTTCCAATATACAGGACTATGCTGCCTACTTGCGAGTGCTAAGCATGGTTTTATCATCCCAATCCCCGTGGCAGGGAGCCTCCTTGGCCCGTTTTTGCAATACCCACATGCTACACTATTTCCGATAGGCATCAGTCCCCATTCCCTCCATTCTCAACCTGACTTGCATTCATAATCACTCCGCGGGTAACCGCCTCCTATTGTGAAACGCAGGGACAAATTGACACTGATGGCTACTCCATCGACAACCACGCAACGGGAGGGGGCGACTTTGCCTCCGCCGACAGATGGTGGTGCAACATATGCAACTTGTGATGTTGGTGTTCAGCTGAGTGAAGGCCCCAAGAAACAGATCACCCTCCACACCCACATGAAGACTCCGATCCATATTTTGCGCTGTGGATTGGCGTCTCTCACTGGAGGCACGATCTTGCCTAGTGTGTCGGATGTGATCATGGTCCTAATTGAGGCCGCTCCAGCTCTGGCCAGGCAGCTTGTGTTAGCGGCCGTTGCAGGAGGTAAGAAGCATGCAAGTCGAAATGAACCGGGTCCTGAGAAGGGCCATGTGTAACTGGCCAGTGAGCTTCATCCCACTTGCAACTTGTATACCATAACGTTTGCAGGAGAGAGGAGCGAGGGCGTTACTGAGGCATTCTACAGCGGCGTGGAGGCGCATGCGAGAAGCGTTCGCCCTAGTGGCTCATCCGGGCTGCCGACCAGTCAGGGTCTTCGGAGCTTGAAGCCCAAGAGCATCCCGGGGTTGGTGTATGGCTTCGTTCCAACCGCAGGTGGGGTGGGGGCCGCTGGAGTGGCACGTTACTTCAGCTGGGGTGGAGCAAGACGCGGGCGCGGATACCAGGCTCAGTTAGCTGCAGGTATGTTTGTACTTCCGTGGTTCCATGCTTGTAGCGTGTTGGGGTCATAGGGCAATAATGACGATGCATCATTCGTCACGTCTCACTGTTGCAGGTGTGCAGCGGGGGATGAGGGCACGCCCTACACGTGTAGTACGAGCACTGCCGCGTATCACGACCGACCTTGGGGCCCTGAGGCAGGCAGAGGACAGTGGGGATGAGGATGGGGTTGAGTTGACTGCCACTGACACAGGCCTACCATCTACCGGTGCTGTTGGGGATGTGGACAGCCCTGATGGGGTCATGCATGTGGAGGACGCAGTGGGGGCAGCATTGGAGGAGGAGGTGCTTTGGGCAGGCGCAGTAGAGGGGAGTGGTGATGAGGATTTTGATGGGATGACTGCCACGAAGGAGGGCGCGCCATCTGCAGGAGATGCTGGGGAAGTGGACAGCCATGATGGGACCATCCAGGTGGAGGATGCAGTGGGGGCAGTTCAGGCAGAGGGGGTGCATGAGACAGGCGCGATAGAGAGGATTGGGGTTGAGGATCAGGTTGCAACAGGTCTTGCTTGTCTGGGCATACCACAGCAGGTCGAGAATCAGCCCGCAACACGCGCGGAACCTGCGCAGTCGACTGGCAGTGGTCGCCAGACATGGTAGGCCATACTGAACGTTGTGCGACCCTTGTGATGCATTGTTCAGTTTCGGATGCCAGTATGCCCATACCATGCCATCCACCTGTGATTTATTATGAGCATACGGGCCTGCCCCTTTGTCCCCATTGCATTACAGGCATCGTACCGTTGAACCAACATTCCATGCGTTTGATTGCGGCATCCCTCGTGACTGGCCGGCAACACCAACCCTTGCATCATCGGGTGAGGGAGTGGTGTGTTACTTGGATGCTGCGTTCTTCGTGCGGCTGTTGCTGCTGTTCACCCTCCATTGTACTGCGGGACTGGCATGTGGGGGAGCTATGTGCATGCAAAGTGCGAAGATCTCAATGGGTGCACTAGGAGTCCTTTGGCGCTGCAAAAAGTGTTACAGAACGGAGGTATGGTGGTCGTGTGATCGAGCAGTGGACCCGCAGCGCGCTAAAAAGAAAGGCCCAAAAATGCCTTGGCTGACGAGGACTGTGCTAGGTGCCTACCAGATTAGTGGGTGCGGGTATCAGGTAATGTGGTCCGTAGCACGCAGTATGGGTATGAGAGTGCCAGCTGCGCGGACGTATTACAACTACATGAAGGGCCCTCTCGGTCTATGGGC